GTGCCAAACATCTGGATATTTGAAAACATCTGGAATAGTGACTGGTGTTTTCAAAGGGGTGTTTAGCATTATCTGGATGAAACCTTTGGCTCATCTTCAGATAACCAGTCCAAGATTGATAGGAATACCTTATTATTTATGAGGAAGGAGGGCTTGGATTATAGATTGTAGAATGCATTCAGTTGTGTAGTTTTCATGAGTCTTCATTTCAGGGGAGCGAGTTCGGGGTGTTCCACTTCAGAATGCTTCAGTTTGATGGATATTTCCGCCTTCACTTCCCAGGGAGGAGGGAGAGCCAGCAGCAGGTTGGCTCTGTCACGGCAGCCCTTTGGTGTCATTGTCTGAAGTGGGTGGTCACCTCTCGGGAAAGCATTAATAGGCCCCCAGCCGCTACAGAGCCCCTCAGAAAGTGGTTTCTGGCGGGCCATCAGGCATCAGAGCCCTGACTCTGGTGCTCTCAGGAGAAGGTGAAAGGTGCTTTCACCCAGGCCTATGAAATAGCTGTTTACTTCACGCGGCCCTGAAAGGAAAACAGAACTTTCATTCCCAGCAGCCCCCGAGAAAGGCAGTCTAATCAGTCATAATGGGCTTGCCTCTACCCCAGCCTTCATGCAGGGAGCCCTGCGGATCACAGGGGCCTATTGTGAGAAGAGAAAAAGGAGGCATTGAGGCAGGCGCCAGGCAACAGGGCAAGAAGGAAACACTTAAGCAAGGGGCCTTTAATTTTTATATAACTGCCCAGGAGCATATTTTATAGTCTCCTCATGAGAGTCGGGCCTCATGCTGGCTGCAGACTCTGTGTGGTGTCCTGGGAGCTGATGCTGGGGGAAGCCAAAGACAGTCCCTGACCTTGAGGGGAGTGGAGAAGTGGCCGAAGGCCGGCAGTCTGTCCTTCATTCAGCATCTGGCTAGCACGATAGCACCGTTTATTACCAGGATTTCGTAAAACCATCTTTTCTCCGCTGGTAGCCTGCAGGGAAGGCACCCCCTAACCTCTGCCCACTTTCAGAGATGCTTTAAACAGCCACCCCTTTGGCGTCCAGGGCCCAGATTTATTTAAATGCTTTGGGGGACAGTGTTCAGAGATGTCTTTCTCAGATGGTGGAGAACAGAGTTGACTTGTTTTTTGGCAGAAGCTGTGCTTTTGCTTCTGTCCTGCTTTGAAGTGAAAATGTGTCTTGCTCGTCCTGGGTGTGGCCCCTCTTATCTGCACGGGGCAGGATTTATCTGCTCCGGGGGCACCAGTGAGCTCATGCCCTAGTTAGAGCTCTGGCCCTTATGTGGGGTGCTCAGGGCCCGCGTAGCCGAGTGCACCTCTCTAAATTTGGTTTGTGTAGAGCTTCCAGGCCGGTCATTTAGGGAATATTATGTTGTATTGCCAGGCCTAGATTAGAAGCTTAGAGCTTCAAGATATAGAGTGAGAGGATTCCCCACCACCACCACCCCAATTTTCATTAGCAATGGAAACCTTCAATGAAACTCTTTTTCCAAAAGAAATCTTACCAGGAAGCTTATGTAACCAAACAGAGCTGGATACGTGAGGATAGAACTTCCGAGAACCATTTTCATTTGTGCTTTTTCTCTCCCGGCCAAGCCCCCATTCTTGGAGTTTCCAAAGTATTCTTCTATGACCCTAATGGCTTCCTAGAACAGGCCATGAAAACCAAGGGTGTGATCTCAGGCTCTCAGATTCGTGGATGTGAAACCCAAAATCCAGGGAGTTCCCCTGAGTTAACCCAGATCAGTGGTTGGCAAACTGGCTCCTTGAGTGTGGCTCTTCCACAAAAGACCACGTGCGGGCACGCATGTACAGTGCGATTGAAACTTCGTGGCCCATGCCACGGGGCCAAAGAGCCGCATGTGGCTCGCGAGCCGCAGTTTGCAGACCACTGCCCCAGATCACTGTGGGGCAGTGGCAGAGCCATGACTTATAACCCAGGTTTCATGGTCCCCTGTTTAATACTCTATGTAGTTCCATTTCTGCCCTCATCTCCCCTCACCCCATAATGTTAGAGCTTCAAGTGCAAAGAGGCCCAGCTGTATTAGGACCCCACAGGGCTTGGGGCACGGGTGGCTGTGTCAGCCAACTGAGGTCTGCTCCAGCGTCCCGGCCTGAACATTGTCACTTACACCAGGAGTCGGGAACCTTTTTTCTGCCCAGGGCCATTTGGATATTTATAACATCATTCTTGGACCATATAAAATAATCAACTTAAAAATCAGCCTGCTCTATTTGGTCAAACGTTTAATTAACTCACCCCTAATGCCTTGGCAGGGCCAGACCAAATGATTTGTGGGCCTTATACGGGCTGAGGGCTGGACGTTCCCCTGCGTTACACAGTGCTCATCAGGCAGGATGGGTGAACTCATTCTCATGAGTTCTATGAATGATTTATGAATGAAGAATTAAGTTCAGAGCAGTAGACATATTTTTACAGTAGAGTATCTGCTTCTCCAGGGCTTCTTTTATTTTTCTGCTGGTTGACTTCATTTCTGGTAGCCCTGGCTAGAGCAGAAGTCTAACTCCTGACGGAGTGGCCCAGTGCCCAGTGGGGCTCCTCTTCCGTCTGCTGCCCCCGCCTCCCTGTGGCCATGTCGCTTACGGTCACTGCCTCCCCAGCTCCTGCAGTGGCTACCCCGCATTGATACAGGAGATTGGTGTCAATGCTAGCGGGGGACTGGGAAATACCAGTGAATATAAAAGTCAAGAAATGCCAGATTTCAGTTGCCATAGTACAATTTTCTTTTCACTTAAAAGTTTTCAGATCACCTATTGTCTGGCCTTTGTTGGCAGATGGACATTAAGTGCAGCAAACTAGAACATGCAATAAATGTGCGTGCAGACATGCTCCGGCTCTGACGTCCTTTTGCTGAAGGCCTGAGACGGTCCCCAGTGTGCGGATTCTGGAAATAACTGACCATCAGTGGTCTCATTCCTTTCATCCTCACCAACTTCTAAAACGAGGCTAGTTTCCAAGGGGAGAAGCAGCACGTTCGGCCGTGCTGGTCCTGTTTGCACCGTGTGTGGGGGGAGCTCCAGATGTGATCTCTGAGCCATGACGACTTTCCTCTGATGTGGACACGACTTTTCCCAACCTTTTCCCAAGCATGCCTTCCCGTCCTCCGTCCTTCCCACCCTCCCCCCACGATCAGAGGATACACCTATTTAATGATTGCTCACGGGTATAGAACAAATGTGGACCTGGTGTGCACGCTCCCTCTCCAGCAGCAGGGCTGAGGGGCCTCAGGTCTGCTGCTTCCCTGGCACAGTGTCAGACGCCACCCTGAATCCATCAGCAGAGATTGGCAGCAGCGCAGTGAGCAGGATGTCTAAACTTGACAGGCAGGGCTGGGTGGAGCAGAAGGAAGGGGCCCTTCTAGTTCTTACAGCGGGTGCAGGGAGTGGTCAGTCAGGTCCTTCTATCAAGGTTTCCTGAAGCTGGGAATCTATGTTGGCAAATGTTTTGTGCATTTGGTTTCTTTTCATCACATTCATAGCAGCTGTAAATTGGAAAATATTTACGTCTATTTGTGTGTGTGTAAAGATTAAAGGTATTTCTATTTCAAAACACATGTTCTCAGCATGGATTTGTCTGTTGACAGAATGAATGATTTCTAAAGAAATGTATATACATTCAAAGCTCTTCATAATGTCTGTTTCAGTCCTGCCTACCAGACTAGTATAATGATTTGGGGGATCTTTACCCAGCATGAAATTGATCTAACATTGCTTGTTCTGGATTTGATGCCATCTCTTTTATCCACAGGCTACCAGTAGTGTGTTTTGTTGCTGCCCACATGTGCTTTCCTCAGCCCTATAAAATTCTGGACACAATGCCTGATTACTTGGGAATTACCTTATTCCTTGTAGCTATGCAGGGTCAGTGGACCAATCCCTGCTCCTTTCCTATGATACCCAGTTATAGTAACTGTGTTTCAGTTTATGTGTGTTGTTAAATTCGAGGTTGAATGAATTGGAGAGTTAATGATCCAGCTCTCCAGTTTACAACTGGTAGTTAGGGCTCAGGATTTAATCAGCTAGTCCAGTAATTTTCAACCTTTTTCATCTCATGGCACACATTAACTAATTGCTAAAATTTTGCAGCACACCAAAACAATATTTTTTTTGCTAATCTGACAAAAAAAAAGGGGGGGGTACAATTAGATTCATTCACACAGACGGCTATTGTTGTGTTAGCTATTGCCATTTTTATTTGACAACTGAAGGGAAAAGAGACCAGTGCCCCTGATTAAATAGTTAGGTATTGCATGTTTTAAAAATTCTTGCAGCACACCTGTTAAAAATTGCTGAACTGGTCTAATATTGTATAAACTACTGTTTCTGAAGTGCTGGTCCATCAACCATGAGGACTTTTTTTTTCAATAATCAATAAAATGTTTTTATTAATTTTAGAGAGATAGGAAGGGAGAGAGAGAGAGAAACATGGAGAGAAACACTGATCAGTGCCTCCTCGGGATTCAATCTGTGCCTTGACCACGAATTGAAACATCGACCTCTCAGTATTGTAGCTAATTCACCGAAATTACTTAATTAGCTTAGACATGATATCAAAAATTTGAATTTGCTTTTCAAGGAATTTAAATACAAAATTTTTGAGATCTCTTAGCATGTCTAGTCCTGGTATTTCTGTAAAAAGGAGAACCCTGGTGATTTTTTTAAATTACCATAAACAACATTCTGGTATCCCGAATGCAGGTTAAAAAGTTGGTGGGTCATGCAAAGCTAACACGGGAAAGAACACACTTGATATGGACTTCAGAGTCTCGGGAGACCTTGCGGAGGAAACCCAGGATCAGTGCGGGTCCTGGCTCACGTTGCTATTTGTGAGTTAACTAGCGCAGAAGAAAAGTAGATAGAGTGTGAGAGAGGAAAAAAATAGGCATTCTGGAAATGATTATTAATGCTAAAATTTCTGCATCTAATTTTGGGATGCTTATGTTTGGAATTTCACATGCACGATGAAAATGTGTGTTTTCAGGTTTGTGGAGAAAAGCAGCGCTTTGAGAAGTTGATGGAACATTTCAGGAATGAAGACAATAACATCGATTTTATGGTGAGCTATTTTTGTACTACATTCAAGAAAACAAACTCAATTTCAGCACTTTTCCCTAAATCCATTGGTGTTTATATGTAGTTTACATCCATATGTATGAGTATATTACAAAGGACAGGAAATTGAGCATAATATGCTACAGATCCAATCTAGACTGTCCCTCTTAATCTCTATTTTCCCTCGATGGCATTTATTTCCAGTTTTATTCCTTCTGTGCACTCTATAGTACAAGCCAAAAGAACTGTGCCTATTTACAGCAAATAAAGCATGAAGCATGCACTTGGGAAAAGGAAAGTAACGTGCAGGGTGCATATGCCGCAGTCGCTAATGTCAATGGTGCCGCATGGGAATCCTTAGGGCAGAAGCAAGAATCGGACCATTTTGCCTTCTGCACACCTGAGCCAGTGCCCTTCTCTAGACAATATTCCCAAGACTAAAGTGCTTTGGTTTGTGGAATTGACTGTATATATCCCCTACATTAATGTACGGCAGTGGTTCTCCCTACTCTCCCCCCACCCCTCTCCTGATCTCTTCCCTGCTCTAGTAATTGTATGAAGGCATACCGACACTGCAGATCCACTTACAGGTAGATCACGTGCAACAGCATGGGGCTCAGCAGGCTGTCATCTTCCAGAACTAAAAGGAGTCTGAGCACTTCTGAATCCATATGCCTGAGGCTCAATCCTGGACTGAAGGTGGACTCCACTATAGAGAATTTCCTCAGACAGCTTCCTCTCGAGGGCACCCAGATTGGCAGGCCTTCTTTGACCTAATGCAGGGAGCTTCTGAACCCTGGGGGTCCTCACCTGGGTCATCTCCCACGTCACTGCCAGGCCGGAGCAGACAGCCCAGTCAGGTCCGACACTGTCGAGTCTTCTGAGCCTGTGCTTGGACACCAGGCAGGGCTTTCCCTGGAATTGCTTTAGTGACTGTAAAATATGGAGCATAGCTTTACAGATTCCTAACCCTTTTATGTAAACATTTTTTTCTGGGTCCTTAAATTTAATAGACATCATGACCCTCAGCCCCTTCCAAAATCAGTGAGAAAGATGGACTCTTTTATAGAGGTTTTCTGTTCCATAAAGCAAAGATACACACACACACACACACACACATATGCTTTTAAAAAAGGTAAAAAGTGTATGTGAAACAAGTAATACTTTACATTGACTTTTTAATTCTTGTTAGTAGGGTTTTTTTGGCGTGTCTGTGGCTGTTGGCACAGGTGATAAACATGTGAAGAAGTGGTGCCTGGCTCTCCTGACTAGTTTCTTTCCTTGGCCTCAAGGGGGGAACTCACTTGTTCCTTTAAGCTAGGGTTGCAAACTGGAGGCTCCCAGGCTGGAGGCAACCTCCAGGCTTGTGAGTTAGTCTCCCAGTGATGTCCTTTCATAAAAGAATTTGGAAATTATGCACAAAAATACCGATTTCTGATTTTCCTAAGCAAAAAATTTCTGACAACACGAGACCCCCATTCATGCAGATTATCAGCTGCTAAAGCCAACTCACGCCTATTCCTTGTGGCTAAAGGTGTACTTTCCAGTTCATCTCAGTCCACACCATTCCCTGTTCTGTTACATGTGGCCCACCTCGCTCATTTATCGTATGTGCGTACAGGATCTCTCTGCCATCGAGTTTCTGCTAGAATGACTCTAAGTCCTTTAAAACACCTGCACTGTTTACTAAGGAAAGCATGTTTCCTATGAGCACATTTATTCACATGCACATGCATTGAGGAACCTTATGTAGAGGTGCTGGTATATGGATCCTATGTGCTTGATGCATGCATCACCTAGCAAGTAGTTACCTCTCGGGCATGTCGTAAAACTCAACAGATCATTTAGACCTGCTTTCAGGAGAGACGTGGAAAGATGCCAAAGCCAACCATATTTTTCCTCCAGAAAATGAGGCTTTTCATAAACTGCAATTAAGAGGTATAACCTCCCAAAAGAAAACAAAAAACTGACCAAATCTTCTTTAGCTCATTTAACCACAGCACCTGAAGTCACTTGTTAATTAACTGCCATAGTGTCTCCTTGTCACCTAGAGCGGATGGATATCCAATGAATAAAATACTCAAGAATCTAATGCAACAAAAAATAATTTTGAAAAGAGAAAGAAGATGAGGTTTTGGGGAGAGAGAAAGAGTGAGGTGGTTTTCGGAGAAAACGTGGATCTGGCTCCCATAATCATCTTACCTCCTTGCACGAGGCTCTGTTTAACTATGGAGGGAAAGCATTAGTGGGATATTTCCACCATAAATAAACTGATTGTCACTATTAAAAGCAAAATAGGTCTGTTGAACTCTGTGCTACTTTTACCAAACCGGGGACTGGTTTTTCTCTGTGGCTGGTCTCAGGGCCACTGATGCAGTTGCGGGTAGAGAGCAATGAATCCAAGGCTTCTATGGAATGGAACCCGGTTCATTGTTCAAAGTGGAAAGATGGGTCAGGGATCCTATGATGATCCTGTTGGGATGATGGGGCCCACCGTGAGGTTTCAGAGGTGATAATAAATCACCTGTGATTATAGGAGATTTGAATGCTTTTCTTTGTAATAATTTTCACATTTTCTACAATATATCTGTAATAATGTTCATTGTTTATTCTGTATGCCTATAAGCCTTTTTTAAAATGCCTTTACTGAGATATAATTAACATACGATCCAATTTACCCATCTAAACTGTACAAGTCAACACATTTTTAGTGTATTTGTGGGGCTGTGCAGCCATCACTGCAGTCTAATTTAGAAAATTTTGTCACCTCCAAAAGAATCCTCACACCCATCCGCAGTCACTCCCCATTTTCCCCACGCCCAGTCCTAGGCAGCTACCAACCTACTTCCTGTCTCTGTAGAGTTGCCTATTCTGGATACTTCGTATGAATGGAATTATAGTACATGTCATCTTTTGTGACTTTTTTCACTTATGAGTTCAAGTTCACCCATGTTGTAGCACATTTCAGTACCTCATTCCTTTTTATTGTTGCATAATATCCCATTGTATGGACATATCACATTTTTTTAATCCATCAGTTGATTAACATTGTTACACACACACACGCACATTTTAATTACTATGAACATTTGTGTAGAAGTTTTTATGTGGATGTGTATTTCCTTTTCTCTTGGGTATAATTTACCTAAGAATTAGATTGCTGGGTAACATGAAAACTCTGTGTTTAACAGTTTTAGGCACTGCGACACTTTTCACAGCGGCTACACTATTTTACACCCACACCCCCAGCAGTGAATAAGGTTTTTACCTTTTCTGCATCCTTGTCAACACCTGTTATTATCTTTCCTTGTGATTATAGCCATCCTAATGGATGTGAAGTGGTATGTAATTATGATACCTATATGACTTCTGAATTTTTTAAAAATATGAAGTATTTTTTAAAGACCTAATAAAATGAACAAAAAGGAAATTGGTAAGTGAGCTCTGATGTGTGCAATTGAAAGCATATTTTATGATTAAAATGAGAAAACAAGCTTGGAACCCATCTAACCTGTTGGCGATTTCATTTCAGGTGGCCTCTATGCAGTTTATTAATATTGTAGTCCATTCAGTAGAAGATATGAATTTCAGAGTTCATCTCCAGTATGAATTTACCAAGTTAGGCCTGGACGAATACTTGGATGTAAGTAGAGTTGAAAGCTTCGGCTCTCATATAAGACCTGGTTTATTGCCTACCCTCAAAGATACACTTCCACAGGGGCAAAAGAACACTTGTGGCCCTATGCCGTCCACTTACTCTACTGCTAGGTAAGAGGGAGCCACCTGAGGGGTGCAGCCTGCCAGAGAAGCTGGGTTCTTGCAGGCCTCCTGGGCCTCCGCTGTCTTCGCCAGCAGCTTTTAGTACCGGAGGCAGAGAACCTCTCGTATATGGCCTTGCTGCAGCTTCCCTCTGCTTTGGAGCTCTAGGGTCAAGTCTCACTGCACCCCTCATTCGGGCGGGCTATTGGGAAATTCACATTCTTAGTTACTCTGGGGAACCTGATTGTGCAGGGAAGGTCAAACCCAGACTGCTGTCGAGCGATGAAAAATTCCTTAGAGCATACAAAAAAAGAGAGAAATGAACACCAGAGACTTCCTTGTGTAGTTGTTAAATTCTGCTGAAAATGTGGCCTTAGAAGTTCTACTTTTAGTTCTTGGGACAAGAGGGTCTAAAGTTTCTCTTTCTCGTGCTCCCTTGAAGAAATGCTCAGCCAGTTCCCTGAAGCCCTTCAGAAAGTTGATGTGAACATTGTAAATGGACTTGAGTAGCTCCGTGTACGCAGAATGTACCCTTTCCTTGGACTCCTTGGCAGTTACGCTTTCCATTCTAGATAAGAATGGTCCATTTGAACTTGGAAGGTCACTAGTGGTTGGGCAAGAATGGTTGGCCTCAATTTCAAGGCTGTTTCTAGTTATGAAGAAGATAGAAGCCCTTCCTTTGGAGCTCAGCTGCCCATCGTCCTTAGGGGTGGAGCCGGGGGATCACACATCGGTACCCTCAGTTTATTGCGAGGTGGAAGCACAGAATCGGTTACTCTGCAGCTTATGGCCTTGCTCGTCAGACCAGGAGAGACTGGCCTAATGTTGTCTAAGGCTCCTCAGAGAGAGGCATGATCAGTTTCTACTGAAGAATTGCTTTGAATTGTTTTCCCATTTAAAGATCCACTAATATCTTGGATAGGATAATGTACTGAAAGGTATTTTGAGATCGTGGTTTGTCTTTCTTTCCCCACGTGCTCTGAGAGGAGCAGCATTAGAACAGAATTTGGGTGTGGAGCTCCGTAACGCGGCTCCGGGTTCAGTTTTGTGATGGGCACGCAGAGCTCACTTCAGGCTCCGGGTTACAGTGGCAGGTAGTAACGTGTTAGCACCTGTTGTCCATTGTGAAATCTGAGAAAAATCCTGCTAAACTTCTCCAGTGTCTTTTCTAGACTCCACCCTTACTTAGAAATCTTTTTCAGTTCTGACTCCCAAACCAAAATGGAACGTACTCTCTTCCAGCAAGCTCAGGGGTAGAACGCCAGATCAGACCGGGGAGAAAGTCTGCTTTCCTGGGGGTTTATGCAGAGTAGGATTCCTCGGAAAACTTTAAGACTTTTTCAAAACACTCTGTTTCTCTAACTTCCTGCTCTGTGGGTTCTGGACCCTGATGAATAGAAGAATATGATAAGCATATAGTGTACAAATGCTTCATTTGTTTACAAAAACCAGCCTCAGTAAGGAGCCATTGATTTGCTCAGTACATGTTTATTGACACCATCCATGTGCCAGATATTATTCCAGCTAATCGTGTATTCCTCGGGGAAAGTCCTGACTTAACGTTACTTCTGAGGAAGAGTCCTGGTTTACTTGACCTCTAACTTCACCGTAGAGCTGGCTCACTTCCTCTGGAATGCCTGGCCTGGGATGCAGAGAATGAGAGTAGGAGGAGCTTCCTGACCTGTGCTTCGGGGAACCCTGAGCTCCTCCTGGGGGGCAGTGTTATAGGGAAGTACTAGTAATCATGGAGGGTGGGCTCTAGCAATTTGTGTTAAAATAAGCCCCCAGGCCAATATATTCTATCCGTGCCTGCCCCACTGTCCCCCAGCTCTACCTCCAATTAGAACTACATCATTACCCAGGCCAGTTAGTACCCACTCCAGTCTCTTCTCCTACACAGATAGCTCTCAGGTTTTATGTTACCCGTGACTCTTGTTCCCATTCAAAGTTGTTTTTAATTTTTCTATTTTCCTGACTTCACCTGCATCAAAAGGTGTTAGGTTGGAATATACCCACATGGGGAATATACCCACAGGAAGGATTAGGGAAATGAGTGTAGATTTGGGAGAGGGTCTTCCCCAGAAAGCAAGCTGATGGTACCCTCTGGGATGATCACTCCTTAAATTCTCTTAAGGAGGAGGATATATCAGAGCCTCTCTCTGCCGAAACAGGTTTGGCTCAGTGGATAGAGCATTGGCCTGTGGACTGAAAGGTCCCAGGTTCGATTCCGGTCAAGGGCATGTACCTGGGTTGCGGGCACATCTCCAGTAGGAGATGTGCAGGAGGCAGCTGATCGATGTTTCTCTCTCATCGATGTTTCTAACTCTCTATCTCTCTCCTTTCCTCTCTGTAAAAAATCAATAAAAAAATATAAAAAACAACAACAACAACAAAAAAACCCCTCTCTTGGAAAAGACTAGACCAGTGGTTCTCAACCTTCTGGCCCTTTAAATACAGTTCCTCATATTGTGACCCAATCATAAAATTATTTTCGTTGCTACTTCATAACTGTAATGTTGCTACTGTTATGAATCATAATGTAAATATCCGATATGCAGGATGGTCTTAGGCGACCCCTGTGAAAGGTTCGTTCAGCTGCCAAAGGGGTCACGACCCACAGGTTGAGAACCGCTGGACTAGACTATGTGGAACAAACAAAACTACATAGGCTGTTGGGCAGTTATGTGCTGTTTCCACAGATAGGCTAATCCCCTCCTCTTGCCATTTGATGTTTAGAAGCTGAAACACACGGAGAGTGACAAGCTGCAGGTGCAGATCCAGGCGTACCTGGACAACGTGTTTGACGTGGGAGCTCTGCTGGAAGACGCCGAGACCAAGAACGCAGCCTTGGAAAGGGTGGAGGAGCTGGAAGAAAACCTCTCTCATGTAACTACTTCCCAGAAAAGGAAAACATGCCTGTGTTTCAAGGGGTGCAGAGCAGAATAAGTGCCCGCTTTGGTGGCCGTGAATGACAGGACGTGGAGTGTAGGGATGAGCTAGAGAGCTGCCAGAGGCCACTTGGGGTTCCCTCAGGAAGGCAGGTGCGTTACTTCACACCCCGTGGGATCGTGGCCTTGACTTAGCGCACCTGCCCAGTGTCTGCCGAGTCCACATTTCCCTGGCCACGTTGTTGTCGGCACAGGAGAGCTACGTGATAAGCATGACCTGAGCCGTGGTCATGCTTTGGCCCCTTGAGTGTGGCTCTTCCACAAAATACCGACTTCTGCACATGGGCCACGAAGTTTCAATCGCACTGTGCGTGCGTGCCCGCACGTGGTATTTTGTGGTATTTTGTGGAAGAGCCACACTCAAGGGGCCAAAGAGCCGCATGTGGCTCGTGAGTCGCAGTTTGCCGAGAGCCGCAGTTTGCCGACCACTGACCCAGAGGGAATTGCACTCAAATATGTGCACTTGGTCCGAGGTGAATAAGTTTCTTCTTCTGAATCTGAGTCACCTTCTACCGAATGTGTCCACACAAGCCCGTGGACAGGGCGTCTGGTGGCTTCCTGATGCCTGTCTGCTCATTCCTGCCTTGTGGCTACTCAGGTTCTAAATAGATTCGCTTCAACAATGAGCCTTTTCAGGGGGATCCGTGCACTTTCCACATGGCCTGCTCTTTCAGGCAGCGTGTCCTCTCAGTGTGATGTTTGCACTGTCTCAGGGCTGGGACTCGTTTTCCATTCAGGGGGTTTTCTTGCTGTGGACCCAGGAGGATGAGAAGTTATTCATTTGTTCATCCGCGCAGCTGATACTGTAATACTGCAAGAATGAATGGAAAAACAGTGCTGCTTGAAAACCCAGGCCTTGTGAGGACTCGATTCTTCTGCTGGATCCTGACAGTGTCCTTGATTATGAAATGAATTATCTCTTTTGGAGCGACATTTATTTTCCCCTTTGAGCATTTCTTTTCCTCCACATTTTCTTAGTTCCTAGTATTACCTGTGTTTAATGTCCTTCACCTTTTCCCGTCACTCTGCACATGTGCATCTTCGTGGCTGTGGTTAAGCCAAGCTGCCAGAACTCCCAGTGTGGGCTATGCCTGGCAGACACCTGCTTGGGAAGAGCATTTATAGGCTTAGTGTTTCTTCCCTTAAGAGATTTGCATGGTATTCTGACCTGATCAATGTAAGTCTCTCCTCGTCCCTTCCCCCTGCCTCCCTGATTTTCTTCACTTGCGGTTGTTTCCAGGGAGAGGTGAGAAGTGCGAAGCCGCTCAGTTCTAGGGCCTCACGTGGAGAGTAACTGTCCGAGCCATGGCTCACCCGGTCCTGCTCTGGAAGCCTCTGCCAGCATTGCACGACCAGACCTGTGTCACCCGCTTTTGTAGCAGGCCACCTGTGTGCTTGAACGGCCCCTCCAAAATGGCTTTTAGTATTTGGGTAGTTTGGATCCAAACAAGCAGTCGTATTTTTTCAGCTGGTTACCTGTAACAACACAGCCAAGTTTTCTGGATCAACAGTTTTCAAAACCTTTTCTCGGGGGGAAAGGTGGGCTTCCTCCTCCCTCACCCGTTCTTCTCCAGCCTCCGCAGAAATGGAGAGAGACATGAAAGAACTAACGTATGGGTTTTATTAAGGACTGTATATCAATTAATTCCCATTAAAAACAAATTGTATTCAGAGCCATAGCATAAATATTAACATTTCCGTAAAACAGCCTGTGGAGCTCACACAGGGCTGTGACGGGCCCCTTCCGGCTTCTGAGCGACTCCACTTGCTGAGGGCCCAGGCGCTGATCAGGGTGACTCTGGGTTGTGACACGGCCTCCCTTTCAAACCTTACAGTTGTCTGAAAAACTGCAAGACACGGAGAACGAAGCCATGTCCAAGATCGTGGAACTGGAGAAGCAGCTCATGCAGAGGAACAAGGAGCTGGATGTGGTTCGAGTGAGTGTGACGGTGACAGCGGCCCCGTGGGCACCGTGGGGAGGGTGCTCCGGCCTTCGTCTGGCCGAGCCTGCATGTCAGAGGAATGTACTGGGGCAGCCTATCTGTTGGGACTGTTTCCGAGGTGGTCCTCCAAGAAAAGTGCACAGTTGTGGGCTTTACACGTGCGTGTGCAATCAAACGCTCCGGGCAGTATGTCCTTATCACAGGTTTTGGGAGCAACAATATTTTCCCATCTGGATGAGTCGGAGTTGATTACGTAGACCCCTCATTCGGTTAGAAATAAAAATACAGCATGGATTTAATTCATGCCACTTATTTATTTTCAATAGAACTTGCATTTCTTTGTTACTTTGCTTCACTTCTACGTGAAACCAGATTTGGTGGTTGCCATGGAAATGGTGAAATCGCATCCCAGGCGAGACCTAATGGCATTCACCAAAAAAAAAAAAGAAAAGAAAAAAAGGCAAAGCAAAACCAATCCATTTTACTATCAGATAAGCACAGCTATTTTATTTGGCGCTAGCATTGTTTTACCTTCCGTGTCAGGTATTTATGGAGCCCCATCCGTGTGTTTAGAATCGTAGGGAACATAAAACCACCGAAATGCCTGGAGGGTGTTCAGGCAAATGGCTTGCCTTTGCACCACTGTTAATGAAATGGCACGTTTTATGCGATGGTTATCGTGTCTGTGTGTGTTGCTTGATCGTCTGACATGTCCTAGAGTTAACTCTAGGAAACTTACTTTCTGGCACGCCATCGAGACAGAGTTGTAGCATATGGACTCAATTCAAGGGCAGACTCTCAGATTATTAATCATAGACAGGGTGTGAAGAATGTCTCCCTGCCTGCTGGAGGTTTGTGGTGAGAGGTCCCGTGTATAAGGCCCAGCAAATCAGTGCCATAAAATCCTCTCACAGGCCTCTGTGAGCCCCTGTAAAAGGAACCGGAACAGCCTTTGAATTGATATGGTAACTTCTTTGTTTTCTGCTAAAAACCTAGACGGAAATAAGTGATCAGTGGAGGGAAGCACTGGCCCGTTTTGTTAACTCTATTCCCGGATGGAAAAGGTTGCAGCCACAGCTGTCCTGCGCTTGGCCGGGGGCATTGTGAAGGCTGGGGAAACGCGTTCAGGGCCAGCCAGCCTCTGGTCATTCTTCAGCGGTTATTCCACATCTTGCATATTTTTAATCCATTCTGACTTCTGTCCAAGGCTAATGTAGGGCCCCTTTGGCTACTGCTAGCTGATGTGTCCAGAGTTAAAATGAATTTTAAAGTAAGTGAAAGGAAAACATGCTAGACCACCGGAATACCCACTGGATATCCCAAAGCCAGCTCCAAAATCATGTCTGGGTCATCTCTGCTCTGTGCCTCTCCCCCCTGCAGGGAAAGTCGAGCCTTAATTAACTGAAAGAACCACATTAGCAATAAGAATTGCTAACATATATTGCATGCATTGCCAGTGAGAAAACGATAACGAATGGGACTTTATAGGTTCTGGCTGAGTTCCATAGAATTCTTCTATATGAGTATCCTTTTTCTTTTCTTTCTTTTTTTTCCTTTTGGCTATTTTCTTTGTCCTCAGTTTGCCAATCTGGTGAGAGGCAAGCATGTCCTGTGAAGACAAACTCTTGACCGTGGACTCTTTTGCAGGAAATCTACAAAGATGCAAATACCCAGGTTCACACCTTAAGGAAAATGGTCAAAGAAAAAGAAGAAGCCATTCAAAGACAGTCTACCCTGGAAAAAAGGATTCATGAACTGGAAAAACAAGGGACCATTAAAATTCAGAAGAAAGGGGATGGGGACATCGCCATACTGCCGGTTGTGGCTTCCGGCACGTTGTCCACGGGCTCGGAAGTAGCAGTGGGACCGGTAACGGGGGCTGCCGCCTCGGGACCCTTGCCCCCACCTCCCCCACCTCTACCTCTGTTGTCAGATGCACCTGAAACAGGTAAGAAGCCTTGGCGGGAAAATGGGGTGGGATTGGGATATTTATTCTTCTTTCCTTTACTCACTGCTCACTGATGTTCTCTGTGTGCACGCGGCCTATTGCCGGAAAAACCATTCCTTTATTTTCAAAGTCAATTTGTTTCTTTTCTTTTGCTAGTGCAAAATGGTCCGGTAACACCACCTATGCCACCCCCTCCTCCACCCCCTCCCCCGCCACCGCCTCCCCCACCCCCTCCACCTCCGCCTCTGCCGGGTCCTGCCTCCGAGACTGTGCCAGCTCCTCCTTTACCACCACCCCTTCCTCCTTCTGCACCCCCGCTGCCTGGGACGTCTTCACCCACAGTGGTTTTCAACTCAGGATTAGCAGGTAAGAGCAGAGAATAAGACCCAGCCAGGTACCTGTGTGAGAAATACTCATTGGTCTTACTTCGAGGGTTCAAGCCGCTCTTTCAAAGTCCCGGTCTCTTGAAATGTCATGTCTCTCCTCTTGATAGAACACCCTGCTAAGGTGCCGGCGAGATGGCCACGCTCAGGAGGCCTTTCTCTCTCAGTAGGTTTGTCCCTCTCTCCCTGGCGGGAGGCCTTGATCCTGCACCGTCTTAGCACTTTCCAGGGAAGGGAGAGAGACAGGTTACCTTCTGGGGGTCCGTGCGTTTTCACAGGTTCAGCGAACACGTGTGGACATCTGTCGTAGTTGAAGCTCTGACACAGGCTGCTCTGGTGCTTGCGGCTCTTTTATCTTGAAGGTATCTGCAATGTAAGGAGGCACCGTGCCTTTCTGTGTAATTGCCTGAGGTAGGCTTGCAGGCATTTCTGAGCCTCAGAGGGCATCGGAATTCACTGTAGTCCAGTGACGCTTTAAGGGGGAATGTTGCCAACAGCCGCATTAGGATGCCTTGAAATGCTTGCTGATAGTGCACCTCGTCTTCCTGCTGACCAGGACCCAATGCGGCATCCTCACCCCCCAGCCATAAGGCAGGGTGGGTGTGGGCCAGAGGAAGACAGTTCCTCTAATGCCTTGAGATGTAAGTTCTCATCTTCGACTCCGAAATGCATGTTTACTCCTCTCTACAACACTGCAAGCTGTTCTCCCAGCCTCGGAGTGTTTTCCTGGCATGGGGCGTTGCTCTGAGTTTTGCGGTACCATCCCGGTGACATCAGATGATCCCGCTTCCTCATACACTTCAGTCCCTTGGCGAGGTCTCTCATTTCTGCCGAAGAGCTGCCGCTGTAATGTTTTCCCATTTCCAAGGCTGCGGTGGTTCTAGAAGACAGGCAGCCCTAACTGGTTTGGCTCAGTGGATACAGCGTCAGCCTGCAGACTGAAGGGTCCCAGGTTCGATTCTGGTCAAGGGCATATACCTTGGTTGTGGGCACATCCCCAGTGGAGGGTGTGCAGGAGGCAGCTGATCAGTGTTTCTAACTCTCTATCCCTCTCCCTTCCTCTCTGTAAAAAATCAATAAAATCTATTAAAAAAAAAAAAAAAAAAAAAGACAGGCAGCTGTCAAAGATTTCCCAGCCTGCATCCCTGAGAATGTCCTGCCACAGCGTGCCCAGCTGGTCTGTGCTGCTAACTCATCCTAGTGACAGAAAGCCGCCCACAGAAAACTGGTTCCACACCCCAACTTCTATAAAACTGTCCTCGTAACAAACACAGTAATGTTCTCAGGAAACCAGTGACTTACTTTAACCCTTCAAGGTCTTCCCAAACTACCACTTTCTTCTAGAGCTTTTCTTGCCTCTGAAGGACAAAAACAGAAAGCGCGTCATCATGGAACTGTTGGCTTTTGGAATATACACAAACCGAAACGCCTCAACCAGCCCCAGGAACCTGCCCTATCAACAGGCTGTTTTCCATGTGAAAACCTGTACTTGTCGTGTGCACTGGGCTCACGGATTCGGCTTGGCCCCTAAGCGCGCTCATGTGAGACGTGCCGGCTGTGGTATCTCTCCTTCGGACCGGCTTCCCTTCTCTCTGGCGAAACCTCACATGTGACGCAGCCTTTGCCGGCACCCACCTGAGCTCTGCCAGGTCTCAGGACTGCCTTGCCGAGCGCAGGAGCCACCAGGCTGAGATGTGGGTCCAGGGCCCTGCTGAATGGGTCTCATCCTCGCTGGTTCATTTTGTTGCCTGCTTAATTTTAAAATGCGTTGGCCTGTTGCTTCTCTTCAGCCGATTCCCCACTGCCACCTTTGGAGCTGGTCCCACGGGGAGGTGTCCCCTTTGTGTCTTAGGAAGTTTAGAGGACTGTGTGTGGGATTGAAGAAACTCCTCTTTAGTGCCCTGTATCCTCTAAACAATCACAGGAGGCTCTGTTTCACAAGATGTAAGGATTGTAAGAACCTTACACGTAGTTGGTAGCTTGAGATCCATCAGTTTCTACAAGGCCTTTAATCTCTTTTTATTACTCAGCCTTAATTTGGCCGTTCACGCTTAGTGGTGCGGGCCATGTTGTGAGATGCTTTGCCGGGGTGTTCAGGAGCTGTCACTCTGGAACCAAGACACCAGACAGAATCAGGATGTCCCAGTAGAGCCAGACACAGAGCTGGGATATGCCAAGCGCTCTTGGGAAGCCAGAAACATGTGACCACTAGGTCCCTGGATCTGCAGGCCAAAGGAGGTCTGTCCCCGCAACAGGCCATGAGCAAGTGTGCTCTTGGTGGCCGAGACAGGGACCAGGAGGAGGTTCCCTATGTTTATTCAGTCAAGTTTTCGTTGCAGTTTATAGAGGAAATCGTAGTGGTGGGAAATGTGCATTTGAAGTGTAAGGCCGACTTCCTCAAATCTGCGATTGATCAACTGGCTCCCATGTCCTAGTGAGGTCAGCGTGGCAGGGCGCTGGGCAGTCGGCACCCTGTGTTGTCTCTGTGGTGGAATGTGCTTTGGAACTTCACAATGAGGGTGTGGACTCCGGCTGATTATTTTTCATTAAAAATTTTTCCTTATCTTTAGGAATACTTAGCACAGTTGAATATGGCTGTTTGGGACCACTATAATGAAATCATTTTTTTCCCTCTTCTAAAAAGGATTATTTTTTAAAACAAAATAAATGAGTCTTCAAGGCAGGCCTGAAGGGAAATGAATTTTGGCTCTGGGCTGCCTCGTGAAATGTGTCCAAGAAGCCTGGGATTCTATGTGAAGAGTGTGCCAGCTGCTGAGCCGCTTGACTCTCACTGTATCTAATGTGTTTTGTATTTTCTTTGTTCTTCCTGCTTCCACAAAAGATGGGCCCATCAAGCTTTTCTGTAGGTTGCTCCTCACTGAGTGTGTTGAATATTTGCGTTGTGCTCCCGTTGGTCACACCGTGCCTTCCATCTTTCCACTCCACCGTACACTGATCCATTGCATTTTGACTCTGTGTCTGCGGGAAGTCTCGGTGTTGGCTGACTGTTGTCCCAGGTTTGCCCACACGTTTCAGGTGAACCTGTAGAGAGATGATGGTCCTTTAAGCAGACATCCTGGATCCTGTGCCACATTCCTTTCTCCCCGAGGAAAGGAGTGTTTTTCCCTTTAGTTTAATTTTCATAGTTGGGTCTAAGGCCTCAGCTCTTGAAGGACTTTGGGTTTATTCTGGGGGGAAAGAGAAAGCACCACAGAACAAGGACGAGCTGCTCGTGCTGCCTCCCTGGGCTCCGGCTCTCTCCTAGAGCACCTACCCACCCCCTTAGCCTGAGCACTGAATGCCATGGTCACCTACGGAGCTCCTCCTCAGATCATACCAATTCCCCAGAGTCAGGACAGCCTGCCCTGAAGACTTTATTGCTTGTCTTCTGATCTCAGGCTTATTATAGGCTTATTACTCATCTCGCTAAAAAGTTAACAAATAAGGTGGCTGCCAATGGAATGACCTGTAGTGAGTGTCCGGAGGCCACAGTGCCTGTGGAGGGATGCTGGAACCAAACGTCCCTGGCCTCTCACTAAAGATTATGGTCAGCTCCCCGCACAGCCCCTTCCCTATGCCTTCCTCCTTCCCCTCAACGTCACCCAAGTGCCAGCCCAGAGGAAGGGCTGTTCCTGTGCCCCAGGTTCCTGGGCAGCGTAGGCAAAGGATGCAGAGTGGCGAGGAGCCCGGCACTGCTGGGCAGTAGGGACTGAGGTGTTGCACTTGGGAGTGGGAAGGCCTGGTGTGGCAGAGCTGTGTTTCTGTGTCCCTGCATGCCTTTGTGTCAATGACAGATGACATCCTGCTGTGGATTATGTCGCATGTGTAACTCTGGAGGAATGAGAGGCGCTGTCTGCCTCCCACTGAGGCAGGCAGCCAGGTAAAAGCCCAGGCCTTGCGCGGAAGTTCTCCTTTTCTTGCTGATGATGGCAAGTAGCAAAGCTCCCAAATAGCATGGGGGGCGTACCAGGACATACTTAAGAAGGCAGATATGTATAACTTGAATGGCTTGGGAGGACTTCTTTATGATGTGTAATTAACTAATGGAATTTTTAATGGATTGCCTTTTTAGCTCATTTCCCCAAAGTAAGAGGGGTTGGTTCTGCCCCCTTGACCCCTCAAAGATAGAGCCCTCCCTCTCTGTTCAGAGGTTTTCAGTGTTTTGACTGAGCTCCTCCATGCCTCTGGTCACAGGCAGCTGAGCCCTGGGGAGAACTTGCTCTTCACGAGGGGGAGGGGCGGGGTCATTCTCAAAAAGCAGTACAAGTCCTGGTGCCAAGTACCCTTCTGTCTCCTTGACCATTTTCTATTTTCAGCCACTCATGGCCCTGAGTCTGTTGAAATAACTCGGCAGCCAATATAACCCCCATTTTTGAAATCATCCACAGGAATGCATTGCTCTGGCTGGACGTCAGCATTCCTGGTGCTACATTCCTGGTGGTTCAGAGACACTATCTGTAGTCTCTGGTCATCTTCTGAGATTCGTTCTAGGACCAAGGATTTAGGATGCCGAAGTTACACTGGGGCTCGAAATTTCAATCTCAGTCCCCAGAGCAGGTGCCCTCTCTGCTGTCCAAGAGCATGACTGATCATTTTTGCTCCCCAGTATTTATTTGTCTTAAGCATTGTCCAAACATTGTGACCGTGATGCGGCAAACCAGTTGCCCGCATTAAAAAGAAAGTCAGCTCCCAGCTCATAGATGACTTGAACACAGTGCTGTACCAGCCGGCCTCGGATTGCTCTGGCCGCAGCCACGTGTGGTGTTTGAACACCGGGCGCCACCCGCCAGCCTTCCTCCAGGGTTAACGTGTCATCTGCAAAGACTGCTGTCTGATTGCTCTGGAGTGTCATGGGGTCTTGGTGGAATCTTAATTTTGTTCTCTCTGACCTCTGTAGCTGTGAAAATTAAGAAGCCAATCAAGACGAAATTCAGAATGCCAGTTTTTAACTGGGTTGCCCTGAAGCCAAATCAGATCAATGGCACAGTCTTCAATGAAATTGATGACGAGCGAATTCTGGAGGTATCTTTCCTATGGGTTACTCTGTGCAGCAAAGCCAAAATGGGTGTGTTGGTAACCTGGGCATTTTGGTGATTAAAGTGCTGGAGTTTTAAGGGCTTTGATGGAAAGAAAAAAAAGGATATATGATGTCAGGGAATAAAATTGGAAACTATTTTATAAGGTGGGTTTAAAACTTTGTTTAAAAAGCTATGTTAAATGAAATAGTTTTGAGCGTCTTCAGTGTATGCCAAGTGTGTGTGTGTGTGTGTGTGTGTGTGTGTGTATACCTGACACAAGATCTTCCCTTAACTTATAAAAGGGCATAAAACTCTTTATTAAATTACAAGTGAATGAGGACTTAATAATCATACTCACTAGTTGGTTTGATGGGTAGTTTTAGTCTGTGGTTGCCATCCCTGCAAACTAATTATTGAAAGGCATTTGAATTGGCCGGTTGGGACCAGTCATCTACTTTCAATTTTCACGTCTGCACATGTGGCATAACTCACACTCGGGCACAAACCAGAAAATAGAGCAGGCCATGGTCAAAGACAGGCATCACGCAAGTTCTTTGACACTTAACAAACTGTGTACATGGTGGCTTCCTAACTTAATTTTTAAGTTTAATTCATTCATCTTCTCTACCCCAGGATTTAAATGTGGATGAATTTGAGGAAATTTTTAAGACAAAAGCCCAAGGTCCTGCCATTGATCTTTCTTCAAGCAAACAGAAGATAACACAGAAGGGATCCAACAAGGTGACGTTACTGGAAGCAAATAGGGCCAAAAACCTTGCCATCACTTTAAGGAAGGCTGGAAAGACCGCCGACGAGATTTGTAAAGCCATTCATGTGTAAGTTCGGGGCATTCTGGGAAACTATATTTCAGTAAAAGAAAAAAGTTATGAATTCGTAGATGAAAGAAATATTTCAAGAGTGAGGCAGGATCTAAGATAAACGATGGAGCAATTCTTGATATCCCCACACCAGAGAGTCCCTTTGTTACATCTGTGCAACTTGAGAGCTTAATAAAATGTTAACACAAAAGAGGTGGACCAGAAATTACCCTCGGGAGTGCTGTGTTACAAGGAGTAATTATAATCGTTTTGGAAGAACAACAGGATCGTGACATTAATTATCTTGGCCGGCTCTCATGTAGGTCTACGGCAAAGCTTCTGTAGAAGGAAAGTTGGGTGGAGTATTGCAGATGCTAAGAAAAGGAAGAAATGTCAGTTTTCTCTGGAGTATCTGATTTTTATTCAGATTAGTTGAATACGAATGTGATGGCATTTGTGGGATGATGCCATCCAACGCCAGATGCACATATGATATGGAGGCACATTTCAATTTATAACAATAGGAATGTGATTGCTGTTGCTTTTAGTGCTTTCAGGACATTTTAAACGAAGTTGAGTTATTTTTTTTTTTATCCTTGAACAGCAGAGAAGGCATTGGTTTTATTTATTTTTCTCTTAGAAAAATCTTTCTACTCTTCTTATGGTCATGATGACTTTCAGATATGATAAGGATGTTATTAGATGTTTTAGGAACTAAATCATTGTAAATTGACATTTCATAAATTTTGATCAGGGATTCCTTCTGCAGTAAATGGCCCCCAAGAAATCATCTGCTCCAATTTTATGTCCCCAGCCAGGATCATAATCTAATAGTCCAGTGCATTCCTCCAGTGTGCTCTGATTTCTGAGGTTGAAACCTGATACACGCTTTGGTTTTTAATTTTTACATGCCTTGTTTGCCATGGTAATTAAATATAATTACATTATTTTGCTGAACAAAGATTGTCCGTAGGACAATATAGAGGTTGTAGCGGATACTTCGTTTGTTCAAATTGAGCATACATCCACAGGGATCTGGTATTCCTTCAAGGGATGTATACACTTAAGCCAAAATATCCCTATGGCACAGGCATTTGGTTGCATTTTTTTCTAAAGAAGAAAATACATTCCCAGTTATTGGTTTAATTGAAATATTTTATAGAGTTCACCAAATATTCTCTAATTGTGTGTACAGTATTAATCTCCCAATTAGCAGTACTTAACATGCCTAAAATCCATGTCCTTGAATGACTTCACCATTGATGCTTCAGCCTTCCTCTGCCTCTTCCCACTGTCATTTACTGCTGATTTCTGGAGGCATTGAGCTATAGTGATAGCTTAAAAAACTGCATGTGGGATGTGATGAGGTCCAGGTTGTCAGGAAGGACCAGCAAAGGTGGCTGCACAGTCGGGAGCCAGCACGACGGGGCGTCTTCACCGTCCACCTGGGACGCACTGGCTGGGTGGCTCCCGAGCCAGACCCGATGGAGATCGGGTAAAAGGGTGGGGGCTTTCTCTCCAACACTGACGTGTCTGCATCTGCCCTCAGCTTTGACTTGAAGACGCTGCCTGTGGACTTTGTGGAATGTTTGATGAGGTTCTTGCCGACCGAGAATGAGGTGAAAGTGCTTCGGCTCTACGAGCGGGAGAGGAAGCCGCTGGAGAACTTGTCGGACGAGGACCGCTTCATGATGCAGTTCAGCAAGATCGAGAGGCTCCTGCAGAAGATGACCATCATGACCTTCATCGGGAACTTCGCCGAGAGCGTCCAGATGCTCACGCCTGTGAGTGGACCGACTCTGGCAGGGGAGGGGGTCCAAAGAGACACCGGATCCTTTGTGTTGGTTGAAGTCTCTCTCAGGATTGTGCTTCGTGTCATGGGCTCTAAAGACTCCCTCCCAGGACTTCCTAGATTCCATTGTTAGTTCGGCCATCTTTTTCATTTTGTGTATGCCAAGTGAATTTGAAAATGGTGACATGTTCCATATCGCCATTCTCCCTAGAGGATGAATGTGTCCTCTGGATTTTAAAGTTCCGGTCAATACAGAGGACAAGGAAAAACCATTTTCTTAGCCTTAGTCCCCTCCTGAAGATACCAGGTCTCTGGCCGGGGTGGCAAAGCTGAAAATGTGACTTTCATTTCAAAAACCACCCCCAGTCTTTAGCGAACTGGTTTATTGGCTTCGTTGGAAGCATCGCATTTATCATGGGCATCTTCCTGCTTGGGGTTTGTCACAGTGCACTGTGGTGATGTAGGGAGAAGAGCCAGCCATCTCCTCCTCCTCTGTGTTAATCTGGTGGAGGCTCTGAATATCACAGACATAAATATCATAGAAAGTTCTTTCCCAGTCCTATTTCTGAACAAGCCTTTGTTAGTAACCGATCACAGCGGTACGGACATCTTCCGTCCGAAATCTTCCAAGAGCATCTGGAGGGTGGTTCTGCTCCTTTGCTGTTCTGTTTTCATCGCTGAGGAGCCCCATTGATTTAAAATATAAACGTGTTCCATGGCGAGAGGGGGGCAGGGAGGTGAGCTCCGCTGGAACACGCTGGTGACTGAGTCTCATGGTCATGGGTTTTGTGACAAGCCAGTTCTGACATTTCTCCTCATTTCAAATACTTTGAGGGACGAGCTCGCATGGAATGACGTGGTTACCGAACACCCGGCAGAGCACTCACATTCACGTTCAGGAAATAACAGAATCTCAGCATTGAGGCTGTGAGGTCTACAGGCAGGCCTGTGTTCTTCTGTGTTCACTCTTAGTTTCCAGTTAGAGTATCCCATTTTTAACATCTTTGTTTTTCTTCTCTCCCCTTCCTTCCTTTGCCTGGAATCTAGCAACTGCACTCCATTATAGCAGCATCTGTCTCTATAAAGTCGTCTCAAAAACTCAAGAAAATTCTGGAGGCAAGTGACGTTTCCTTGGTGCCTGGACGGGAGGGCGGGCCTGATAGCCCGGGAGCTGGGCTGATGGGCTTCTCTCTTCTCGCTGTTGTTTGCAGATCATCTTGGCCCTTGGGAACTATATGAACAGCAGTAAACGAGGAGCAGTTTATGGATTTAAGCTTCAGAGTTTAGATCTGGTGAGTGGACTAAAAGCAATGCAAGAGCTCTCTGAGGCATAAAACAGCTGGCAGAGATTCCGTTCTGGAGCAGAGAGTCTGCTCTTGGAAGTGGGCTGGGAGATTGTGATGAGGATGCTCTGCTAGCGGAAGACCAATCGGTGCCCGTGTTTTGGAACAGCGTTTGGCAGCAGGCACTTAGATCCTTAGAAACACTCCTACCCTGTGACCTAGGGATTCCATTTCTAGGAATCCATCCTCAGGAGTCTGAGTGATGGATGCCGTATTTACTCATCATTGCAAATAATTAGCAACATTGTAAAGAGCCAAGATTTGGGGAAATAATTAAAGATGCTATAGCAATAGTTCATACAGTGAACTCTTCTTCAGCTGTTAGGAGACTTGTGAAGAATTTTCAAAGAAGTAGGTAATTCTGTGCTGAGAAAAGAGAGCACAGGCTATAAATGGAATGGACAGATAATTTTCAACTAAGTAAAGTAGGTAGGAAAACCTGAATAGAAGTATGCTGAGATACAGAGAGGATGGATGGAATTGGGGAATTTTTAAAAACTGCTTCTTTATACTTTTCTGTCCTTTCTCAAAATGTTTGGCTTATTCCTGGATGTAATGGGTGCCCTGGCTTTCGGAGCCACCTGATTTATATGAGCAGGAGCAGAGGAGATGCTGCGTGACCCAGCCTGGGCGGGGCCGACGTGGCCTCCATGCGAGGAGGTGGGGCAGTGGCGGAGTCCCCAGCCTGTGCGGGGCCGATGTGGCCTCCATGCGAGGAGGTGGGGCAGTGGCGGAGTCCCCAGCCTGTGCGGGGCCGACGTGGCCTCCATGCGAGGAGGTGGGGCAGTGGCGGAGTCCCCAGCCCGGGCAGCATGTGGTTATTTGATAGCCAGTGTCCCATTCATCACAGCGCTGTCCCCCAGAAGGTCATGGACTGTTGGGCAGGTCTGCTTTGGGTCATGAGAGGCCGGGGAGGAAGAGAAGGGCTGAGTTCCATGTGGAGACTGCAGGGCAGGAGCCCGCTATGCAGGGCGAACCTGTGCACACCTGTGGCTCCACGCGCACTCCGGCTCTGGGCCCGCACCTGGGAGAGCACTACACCCGGAGTCTTTCTTCCTGCTTTGAAGCCAGAGAGGTGTGGGGTGGGGGAGCTCCTGTGAGTGCAGCTGTGGGGACAGTCCTAGGTGCCAGGGTCATCCCTAAAGACGAGCATATCTCCTGGTCAGGACATCCTCTAGTCATTTAAAGTCAGCGGGCTGGCTCCTCAAGGAACAGATCCAGGCTTGAAGCTCCCAGCAATGTTGCTTTCCATGTTGGGGCACCTGTACTCCGTCACTGACTCTGGGAGAACGCCATCGCTGAGTAACTCTCCCACTACCTCTCACTCTAACCCTTACTCCCTTTTGTTTTCAGCTTTTAGATACGAAGTCGACAGACCGAAAGCAAACACTGCTGCACTATATATCCAACGTCGTAAAGGAAAAGTATCAGCAAGTGTCCCTCTTTTACAATGAGCTCCATTATGTGGAGAAAGCTGCTGCAGGTACTGGACTTCCGCTGTTAATGTTCCTCCTGGGGACTGAGTGGCTTTCATCCTGGGGGAGCCATTCCCTGCTTAGCAGACACTCCTCAGAACCTCGCTCAGGAGGTGGCGGAAACATCCAGCTCTGAGCTGGAACCCATGGGCCATGGTGTGGCTCCTTCCCGGGAGCAGTAATGAACTTGGGCATGCAGGTGACCTCTCTCAGTGTCCTCTCAGTAAAGGCCCAGGTCTCTGGGCCTTATGCACCTTCCCTCTTCCATTTTTTGCCCTTTTTATTTTATTGCTGTTTTTTCAAATAAGAGAACGAGAGTCTGAGACTTACCCCTCAACAAACGCTTGTATTTTGTGATGGTTCATGTGCTCCGGTGGGGCGGTTCTAAACATTTTGCCTTTAGTCTGAAAACAAGTTAAATTATCAGTACTTCGTGGTTGTGACTTTGCTATAACAGTTACGCATTTTCTCACTTAATCGCCAGTGGTTCTGAAATAGCCGCTGTACTAGGCAATCATCTCCCCATGTTATAGATGAGAAAGCTGACTTTTTTAGAGGTTAAATGTCTTGCTCAACATCACGTGGGTCACAAGCAACAGAAACAGGACTAGAACCTAGGTTGTCTTCTCAGACAGTGTATGGCCCAGGGTACCATGTCCTCTAGAAAGAATATTAGGTTAGAAAGAGGAACAACATGCAAATCAACCTCAGAGGTAGTTACAGGTTGTGATTCCCAAATTATCATTGTGAAACATGGTGTTTATTAAAAATTCATATTCCTGAGGCCTATCACAGATTGCTGAATTGAATCTTTGAGGTTATTGTAACAGTTTGCAAAGCCATTGCAGCATGTGTACTTATAGGCATAATCAAGTTTTATTTATCTTTTAAAAATTTATTTTTCAATTACAGATGACATACAATATTATATTAATTTCAGGTGTACAACATAATGATTAGACATTTATATTTCTTACAAAGATCACTGTGATAAATCTAGTACCCATATGACACGATACACAGTTATTATATACTCGAGTCCCAGTGCACAAAATTTCGTGCACTGGGGGGTGGGGGAGGGGGTCCCTAAGCCTGGCCTGTGCCCTCTCTCAGTCCTGGACCGCTCGGGGGATGCCCAACTGCCGGCTTAAACCTGGGTAGCGGGCCTAAGCTGGCAGTCGGACATCCCTCTCGCAGTTTGGCACCCCTCGCTCCTTACCACCTGCCTGCTCACTGCTCCTTACCACTCGGTTCACTGCTCCTTAGCACTGCTGTGGAGGCAGGAGAGGCTCCTGGCTGAGCAGCGCTTCTGGCTGAGCAGCGCTCCCCCTGTGGGAGTGCACTGACCACCAGGGGGCAGCTCCTGTGTTGAGCGTCATAGTGACCAGTTGTTCTGCCATTTGGTCGATTTGCATATTAGGCTTTTATTATATAGGATTATTGACTGTATTCCCCATGCTCTACTTTTCATCCCCATGATCCTATCTAATAAAATAGAAACATGGTAATTGGCATACGACCGCTACCCTTCCCATTGGCTAATCAGGGCAATATGCAAATTAACTGTCAGCCAAGATGGCGGCCGGCAGCCAGACAGCTTGAAACTAACATGAGGCTTGCTTGCTTCAGTGACGGAGGACTCCAACGTTCCCCGCCTGCCTTGCCGGCCTCTGAGCTGCAAGCAACTATGTAACAAACATAGAAGCTAAACAAAACCCCAGAAACCTGCTGGGCTTCAGCCAGCAGGATCGCAACATTGTAAGCAAAGGCCAGAAACCTACTTTCAGCAGCGGAGGCCTAAGAGCTGGAGCCAAGCCTCAGCCAGTTATAAAATACACAGAAAAGTGTATTTTAGGAAAAATTTTAGAAAAAAAGGAGCCGTTGGGAGCTTCAGTCACCCCCAGCCTGAAAACAGCCCTCAGCTCCTCACCCAGACTGGCCAGGCACCCCAGTGGGGACCCCCACCCTGAAGGGTGTGTGACCAGCTGCAAACAGCCATCATCCCCTCACCCAGGCTGGCCAGGCACCCCAGTGGGGACCCCCACCCTGAAGGATGTGTGACCAGCTGCAAACAGCCATCATCCCCTCACCCAGGCTGGCCAGGCACCCCAGTGGGGACCCCCACCCTGATCCAGGACACCCTTCAGGGCAAACCAGCCAGCACCCACCCATGCACCAGGCCTCTACCCTATATAGTAAAAGGGTAATATGCCTCCCAGCACCAGGATCAGCGGAGCCGCGAGGCCTACCGGCACTGGGATCAGCATGACAGGGGGCAGCGCCCAAACCCCCTGATCGCCCTGCGGCTCTGTGTGTGACAGGGTGCAGCGCCCCGACCCCCTGATCGGCCCTGCTCTGTGGGTGACAGGGTGCAGTGCCCCAACCCCCCCTCCCCCCACAGGCCCTGCTCTGCGTGTGACGGGGTAGATCCATAACCTCCCCATCGGCCCTGCCCTGAGTGTGAGAGTGGCGGCGCCCCAACCCCCTGATGGGCCCTGCTCTGTGTGTGACAGGGGTCTGCGCCCCACCCCCCTGATTGGCCCTGCTCTGTGCGTGACAGGGGGAAATGCCCCAACCCCCTGATTGGCCCTGCTCTGTGCATGACAGGGGGTGGCACCGCAACCTCCCCATCGACCCTGCCTTGAGTGTGACAGGGGGCGGTGCCCCAACCCCCCAATCAGCCCTACCCTGACTGTAACTGAGGGTGGAATCACAATCTCCCAATCGCCCTGCTCTGTGTATGACAGGGCGGCGCCCCAACTCCCCAATCGGCCCTGCTCTGAGCCCGACCAGGGGCTGCACCTAGGGATTGGGCCTGCCCTCTGCCACCTGGGAGCAGGCCTAAGCCAGCAGGTCGTTATCTCCCGAGGGGTCCCAGACTGCGAGAGGGCACAGGCCGGGCTGAGGGGCCCCCCTCCCCCCGAGTGCACAAATTTTTGTGCACTGGGTCTCTAGTTATTTTATAACTGGCAATTTGTACTTTTTAATCCCTTCACGTTTTTAACTGCCCCCCCCCCCCGAAAAAAAAAATCTGGCAAACATAAACATGTTCTTTGTATGTATGAGTTTAAGTGTTATTTATCTTTGGAATTCCCTTTGCCCTGGCAAATTGATCATGGGACTAAATGAATGAAGGAATGAACAAGTGAATGAATGAATGAATGAATGAATGAATGAATGAATGAATGAGTGAATGAGTGAATGAGGGGATGCACTGTTACTGGGAGGGATGCTGCTGGAACCGGTGGAGATGGAGAGGCAGGTAGAAGTGATAGTGTGATTATGAAGGACTGCAGTGCCACCTGTGGCAGGTCGGCTGAGGCGTCAGGGCTCACTGGGCTGTGACCAAGAATTCTGACCAGGGCGTGATTTTCCTCCTTTCAAGTGTTCCTCTGCCTAAATTAGAGGAGGTCTTTAGCATCACAATTTTAATGATAAAAAAAAAAGTTTTAAAAAATTTCAACCTTACTAATTAGCACGTTTTATTTGGCCCAAATGAGATTCCCTGAAAGTGTGATTTGGAAAAAAAAAAATCTGTGGGGGAGGTGGAGGCGCTCTGGCTGCATTGTTTTCTACGTTGGTTTCCTGGTGCCCTGGGCGCTGCCTCGGACTCCTTACACTTTCACTCGTTCACTCACCTTCGTGTGTCCAGTGCACCTTTTTGACTCCCTGCTGTGTACTTGGCACCATCCTAAGCATCGAGGAGTCAAAGGTGACCAAGGCAGCGTGAGTGTAGTTAGAGGGAAAGCGGGCTGTGTTGTTCTGTAATCCATGCATGTGCAGAGCTGCGTCAGCAGTGGGGAGCCGGAGCCGGAGCCGGAGCTGGGGCCCGGACCTCCTGCAGGAGCTGCTGGAGCTACCTGCCCTGGGAGGTGGCCACTTCGTGCTAATAAACCCTTCAAAGCAGGGAAGGGTTGTTTAACAAAAAGAAGGCTGTCTTGGGGCCAAGTGGTCAATACAAGTTCAACAGGTAAAATGCTGCCCTCTGCTGGAGAGCCACAGAAATGCAGAGTTCAGAGTGTTTAGGTCTTAGAACCCATAGGCCATCCCATAGGCCATCGTCTCCTGTGAGAGACCTGGAGTAGGTGTGTAAAAGCCCCGGACTGGAGTCCACGGTTGTTATCTGAACTCCGTCTCTGCCACCTTCCACCTCTAGGGCAGGGCCCGTAACCCCTCTGTGCTGCTTTTCCTTGTTGGTGAAATGGGTAACAGTACAAATGAATTATTGCATGTGAGGAATGTTAATGCAGTGCTGGACAGTGAGCACTAGGGGAGTTATTTATGTTAAAGGATGTCTGCACTGAAACCTGGAAATGAGGTCTGAGCCCCCTGAGTGACCCAGGGGATCCCCTGAGAGCTCGGCACGCCAGCCAGCCCACGGTGGTCTGGACTTCCCGGCCGAGTTCACGGAAACGTTGCTTTCTCTGCTTCAGTCTCCCTCGAGAATGTCTTGCTGGACGTGAAGGAGCTGCAGAGGGGCATGGACCTGACCAAGCGGGAGTACACCATGCACGACCACAACACGCTGCTGAAGGACTTCATCCTCAGCAACGAGGGGAGGCTGAAGAAGCTGCAGGACGACGCCAAGATCGCGCAGGTCGGTACCTGCGCCCTCGACCCCACAAAGAAGTGGTGGGGTCCCTCAAGGCCACCTGGGGAGCTGGCCCCGGACTTTAGGAGAAATTGCCCTCTGTCTGCTGAGGGTGGAATTCTTATGTAGCTCATGGTTATTGGGGAGGGAATGTCTTTTCAAATATTGTACCTGGAAGGGCTCCTGTTCCTGTTCGTTGACCTCTCGAATCTAGGGTTTCATACTCTTGGGTAGAGGCCCCCCCCCTTCCTCTCCTCATCCCCTGCCAGGCTTCCTGTATGTGAGTCCTGTGTTCAGGTCCGCCCACACGTGTCAGGCTGTGCTCAGCAAAGCAGTGTCCCCAGTGCGTTGGGTTTCTGTAGGCCTCTGGCCTTGAAATCTTACACACACTGGGCAGGCAGTCTGCACATGTGAGAAACAGCCAGAGGACTGCATGCGTCACAAAAGGGAGAGCAGAGCATTGCGGGAACTCTGCAGGTGGACAGGGTTGATGGCTCCCGTTTGAGGCTGGCCGCCTTGGGTCCCGGAAGACTCAAGCAGACCTGGAGCGTCCTGATGTGTTTGAGTGACTTCTAAGATCCCGTTGGTTTTAAGTTCTGCCATGGCCTTAGGAAGCTCTTGAGAAGAATAGAATATTTGTGTGTATGGTGGTGTGTAGGTGTGTGTGTGTGTAGGTGTGTGTGTGTGTGTGTGTGTGTGTGTATGGTAGTGTGTAGGTGTGTGTGTGGAGGTGTGTGTGTGTGTGTGGAGGTTGTGTGTGTGGAGGTGTGTGTGTGTGTGTGTGGAGGTGTGTGTGTGTGTGGAGGTGTGTGTGTGTGGAGGTGTGTGTGTGTGTGTGTGTGTGTGTAGAGGTGTGTGTGTGTGGAGGTGTGTGTGTGTGTGTGTGTGGAGGTGTGTGTATGGAGATGTGTGTGTGTGTGTGGAGGTGTGTGTGTATGGAGGTGTGTGTGTGTGTTGGAGGTGTGTGTGTGTGTGTGTGTGTGGAGGTGTGTGTGTGTGTGTGTGTGTGTGTGTGGAGGTGTGTGTGTGTGTATGGAGGTGTGTGTGTGTGTGTGTGTGTGTGTGGAGGTGTGTGTGTGTGGAGGTGTGTGTGTGTGGAGGTGTGTGTGTGTGTGTGTGTGTGTGGAAGGGGCAGGTTCCCAGAGATGGATCCAGTGGGCCCTGCTCACTCCGGCTGCCTCTGACCAGCAGGGGAGGAAACAGGGGCTGCTGGGGCAGGTGGGAGCACAGGGACGGACGGGGAGCAGCGGGAGCCGCTGTCATCACCCTGCTTCGCAGCAGCTCTTTATCCGAGCCTCACGCTCAGTTGCTGGGGCAGATGGAGTGAAGGGAAGTTTGCTTTTCCGCAGGACGCCTTTGATGATGTGGTGAAGTATTTTGGAGAAAACCCCAAGACGACGCCGCCCTCTGTCTTCTTCCCTGTGTTTGTCCGGTTTGTGAAGGCCTACAAGGTAACTGGAGCAGGTGTCCTCCCGGCCTGCCCGGCCTTGTGTCCCAGGCGGGTGCCCTCCAGAGCCGCCCTGGTCTCAGCGGCTGTTTGGGTGCAGGCTCTGGCTGGGGAGGCCCCTCAGGCTCCCTGTGTCCCCCAGGCAGCCAGACTCAGCCTGAAAACACAGCCACGGCTGCTCCTTGGGGCAAGCGAGATGCTCCACCACCGTGGCTGCCTTGTTGACCTTTCACGCTCACAGGCATGTTAAAGGGCTTAGAAAACCCAGGCCCCCCCCAGGGGACCGAGCCCTGGCCTGTGGCCAAGGTCAGGAATCGCCTGCCCGTGGGTCCTGCCCAGCTTCCGGCGTCCAGACCAGCGTTTCTCTGTGTGCTGAGGGATGGCGCCCGGGAAGGCGGTGCTCTGCTTCTTCATGTGGACGAGCAGTGGCCGGCCCTTTAAATGGGAGGCTCTCTTGGACCGAACCCAGGCTCTAGTCTTGAAAAGCCTATGACCCAAAGGGGCCTGTGTCAGGAGAATTTGTTCCTGGAGCTAGAGTGACAAGGAGGGCGTTAGGGGGTTGTAGTGCCGCGGGAGACCTGCGTCCGTGTTCTCCAGGCTGGTCTGCGTATACATACCCTTGGTAGTGTTGGCGGAGGCAGGAGGGAGTGTGGCTGTGAAGGGAGGGGGACCTGTCAGGGTTATCTACATTTCTGAGAAATATCCTATTGGAAGTAGTAGGTCGCTTCCGCAGCCCAAGAGGCTGCTGGCTTTGGAGAACCATCCCGGGGCCTTTTACCGAGACTCAGAAGATCACACTGTAGGGATCTCTTCTCAGCGTGGCCTCGTGTAGCGGTGACATCACGAGCTGTGTGCAGATGGAGAATGCCCTTGGGAGTGAGGATGACCCAAGCCCAGCACTAAGTCCTTGTGCAGGCCGCAGAGCCACGCGCCCTGAGAAGGTCGCTGTCACCGGCTGCTGACTGGTGCCGGGGCCAGGTGGCTCCCCTCATGTTCTGGGGCCACCATTTTTCTTACAGAAGAAGTTATAAGCCTAAGGTCTAAAGAGAAAATACATGCTCTTATTAAATCGTGTAATACAAGCTGGGAAGTAGCTCTGGTTGGTCTCGAAGCGTGATGCTTCCGCAGGGACACGTGTTGAGCAGAGGAAAAGGAGAAGCTGCTCTTGGTGGGGGGTGCCACAGGCCATGCCTGTCGGGGTGCCCCATCCACATCACTTCGCCCTGGGGCCCTGTCAGCTGGCACCATGGGACACTCATCAGGCAGTGACGTCACAGGATGTGTTACCTGCCCTGGATGTCGCATAACAACCTGCCAGCCTGACCCAGACCCGGGTGTTGTGCGTGGAGAGTGGGGTTGTAGGTTGTCATCCCTCCTTTCCCTTCTCAAGTTCCATCAACATGAAACTTAAGAGGCATCAAGCCCTAGCTGGTTTGGCTCGGAGGATAGAGCGTCGGCCTGCAGACTGAAGGGTCCCGGGTTCGATTCCGGTCAAGGGCACATGCCTGGGTTGCAGGTTCGATCCCCAGTAGGGGGCATGCAAGAGGCAGCCAGTCAATGATTCTCTGTCATCATGGATGTTCCTATCTCCCTTTCCCTTCCTCTTTGAAATCAGTAATATATATATATATATATATATATATATATATATATATATATATATATATATATTCTTAAAAAAAAGAGGCATCAAATGTAAACTTTCCTCTGATACCAGCTGGATTGGAGGAAGTGTGTGTATCTGTGAGCTGACACTCAGCCTCAGTTAGATGACTTAACCAGTTCCCAGCTGTTAGAAGTCTCGTTAGGGAGGCTGACTTCAGAAGAGAGGATGCGGGAGGGCTGAGCTGACATGAGCCTGTTTTATTTCCTGTCCTAAATCGATCGGACTGGTGACTCTGCCTCCCTTGGGAAGGAGCGAGCTGTGGGCAGAACCTAAGAGTGTCACTGGGTGAGGCCCCTGGAGGAGACGCAAGGAAAGGTCTCCCCCTGACAGTGGGATCCAGAAAGGACTCTGAATGGGGTAAATTTGAGCTACTCGATTTTGAAGAGGTGTCATAGAGACACAGTGAAACCCCAGGCCCGTGTTACATACAGGCACCAAATGTAGATCTGACCCTTCTTCCACTTACTCTAATTCCTGGCTCACCGAGGATTCTCTCAGAATGACCTTTTAGACTCTTGACTGCTGTCGTTTCCACTGACGTGTCTTTGATTCTTTTGACTTGACCCAGCAAGCGGAGGAGGAGAACGAGCTGAGGAAGAAGCAGGAACAGGCGCTCATGGAGAAGCTCCTGGAGCAGGAAGCTCTGCTGGAGCAGCAGGACCCAAAGGTGAGGGTGCCCGGCCCTGCCCTGGAGGCTCCTGGGGGCGAGCAGGAGAGACGGGCAGCAAGCCGGCTTGCCCAGGACCCTTGCCGTTTCCTCCTAGGGCCCCACAACTCGGCAACTGGACATTTGCTCATTCATTACTTTGTTCAGCAAAAACTTGAATGAGGCTAAGAGCATGTTTGCGTGGCATTCCTGTTTACAGAGATCTGGAACGCAGAGCTTAGCTCGTATACACTACAGAGAGGCCGTGTCGGATGATTGCACTGCTTGTGTCCAGGGAAGGCTTCGTGGGGATGCCACTGGTGCTGGCCTTGCTGCCTGCAGGGCTTTGCCAGGAATAATGGGGTGGGGGGTATTCCGTGAAGGGGAGCATCGTAGGTGAAGATCATAAAAGGCCGCAGGTCAAAGTGTTCTTCACCTTGATCCTCTGCAGCCAAGTTTAAGAAGTCAGTGGTTCTCACCATAGGACCCAACCTTCCCATTGCCGCCGGCTGGACTTTTGTGTTCCTCAGTGAGTTTGTTTTCTTCCCAGAAGCTTTCTGTGTTCCTTGGGTTGAGCACAAATTGGGCTGGTGCTGCTTGTGTTTGGTGGAGGCTCAGACACATTTTGGATTTTCTCCAACCTCCAATGGGTGCTGATCCCACTAATCTCTGCCTTGCTTCTTTCTTCTCAGTCTCCTTCTCACAAATCAAAGAGGCAGCAGCAAGAATTAATTGCGGAATTAAGAAGGCGGCAAGTTAAAGATAACAGACATGTGTACGAAGGGAAGGATGGTGCCATTGAAGATATCATCACAGGTAAAGGGCACTTCCTCGTGGTGGCCCGTGGAGATCCCGCTGGCCTCACCGTGCCGGCCGCTTGCAGGTTTCGCTGCTGCTTGTCCAGGGTTTCCAGTTCTTCAGTGACTTTAATCAGACCCAGAATTGTGCAGAGACTCTGCTAGTGTTTGAAGTATATTATAGTAGCCCGTGTACTGCCTGTCAGAGAAGCCCACAAGCTCTCTGGAAAATCTCATTTCTCAGTATCATTGGGGGTTAATCTCATTTCTCAATATCATCGGAACCCTTTAGATTTCACCAGGGCTCCTTCTCCTAACGGTTTTCCATTGTCCTTCATGTGTCCCGTGCTCCGTTTCCTTCCTTCCCTGATGGATAAAGGCTATGGCAAGACCCATTCGGGGTCTGTCCTAACACTACCCACAGCCACTGCAGATGTCTCCAACTTGCTCTGTAACAGCCTCTCCACTCCTTCCAGGGAACTGAAGACAAGCGTGAATCCGGGGCTGGTGCTTCCATTCAGAAGGGCCAGTGGGCTGGAAGCCCAGGGCTGGGGAAAGGCTCCTTGTCAGCCAAGAACCCAGCTTGGTTCTTGCTGATTAAGTGGTAGCCTAATGCTTTCTGCTGGAACCAATTCTGTAGAGTTTCTGCCTTCCCTCTCAGCAGATCAGACAGCGATTTGGGCCACTGGCTTGTGGCCATGGCTGGAAGTGACGTCCCTTTCATGTCTGTTGCATATGGACCCTATTTATCAGCTTCCAAGATGCTTAAACTTTTTATTGTGAGAAATATTTTAAATATGAAAAAGTGTGGAGAATGTATGAGGAGTTCTCATGTACCCACCACCCATTTACAATTTTCAGCTCAGGGCCAGCCAGTCTTGTTACATGTCTGCTTCTACTTACTCCCCATCCCCAACCTCTGGGATTATTGTGAGGCAATTCCAGGACAAACAGTTTCATGTGGAAATATTTCAGTATGAACTTTCGAAAGATAAGGACTCTTTAATAAAGCAAACATGCCCATAGCACCATTACCAGACACCTCCTCAACTATTCCTTGATATAAAATATCTAGTCATTATTCACATTTCCCCAACTGTCCTAGTTTTTACAAACTCTTAAGACTTTTTTAATTCTTCCACTTTTGACGTCTCATTTCTTGTTAAAGCTTAGTCAGCTTTGTAAATAAGGTTCCCAAACTGCGGAAACCACAAATTTTTCCACCCACTCAGACCCAAGGCAATACAATCCTAAAACGGAAGTCAACAAGGAGTCCTTTGCCCAGACTTAAACGCAGAGGAAGTTCTGAGAGGATGGCGAAGGTGCCGTGTCCATACACGGTACAGACGTATTCTGTGCGTACCTGCCTGCCGGTACCTCAGGCTCCCCCTGCAGGGGTCTGTGGCTGCTCCCAGATAAAGCCCCTGTGGTTTAGCGTCTCTCCTGAGGGAGAAGCTCTGCTCTGAGCAGGACCAGGAATGGACCTCCTCGGGTAAACGCCTCTGGCCCTCAGTGCTGCCGGATTACCTTGTTACAGAGAAGCATCCAGCCTCGCACATTGAGAACTTGGGTTCCTTTTCATTAGTCTGTTCTCCATCTCAGTGACTCCTGGCTTGTAAACTGAGCAAAACGTATAGTTTTTATCCGCCTGACCTAATCATTGATCTGTCGTGGGAGGGGACTGTGCTTATCTGCCTATGGAGCATTCCTGACTGTCCTGGGGAGAGTTTCCATTTTGTAACCCATGACCCACCCCAGAGTGAGTAGCTTAGATTTGATGAGCTCACTTGGGTATGTTGCTGCTATCCCCCTTTCCTGTCCCCCCGCCCCCCCAGGTATGATTAACAAAGCACTAACTGTGTACTAATGCAATAGATCTTGGCTTCTTACTCTCTTCTGTTTGTCCTGTTTGGCTGTCGTTTTCGATGCAGTGCTGAAGACTGTGCCCTTTACTGCTCGCACCGCCAAGCGTGGCTCTCGGTTTTTCTGCGAACCTGTTCTCACTGAGGAATACCATTACTAAACTATTACTCTTTCTCACCTGATGCTCTGAAAAAGGTTGCTACAGATTTTTTTTTACCTCCTATCACCCTTGTATGTCTGTCTGTCCGGACCAGCATGGAACTGCCATCTCCATGTGTTGTGTCGTATGTCGTCTTCATGCTGCACGGTTTTGCATTTCAGCCGTAACTGCTTTCTCACTGCCACTCTCAATACTTCTGAATCCACAGACTGCTGTGACAGTCTGGGTATGCGTGAGTTGAATGAATAGAATTGCTTGCAGAAATTTTCAGAAAAGTAGTAAATAGAGCACTTCTTTGAGAATCAGGATTGGGTCCCACTAGGTTGCTTACAAGATTTTTGGACTAATATATTTGAACAAAAACTAATCGTCATTAATAGTAATAGCTACTATACCTAACATTTATTGAGCGCGCACTGTGTTCTAACAGGTTTACAGATATCAAACCAGCCTTTATTTTGTATTCGTTTCCCATGCTTTGATTGTATACAGCAAGCATGTCAAACTCAAAGGCTAACCACAGGCCAAATAAACGAGGCATGCGGCCCGCGGCGAATTTGACATGCTTGGTATATAGGCACTCAGAATGCAAAGTACTCTAACTTGCAAAATGATTTTCAGAAGGAACTGTGAACTATGCACAGCTGTAAACTGGGCCCTAAGGGTTTTATGCATGATAGTCATCATCCACAGTGTCACAGGGAACATGGTACAAGCTTAACCCAGAGAGGCCTTTGACCTAGAAGCCTGTATAAGCTGACATAAGGCAATCCATAGCTTTATACCCACCCCTCCTCCAAGTTCAGTAATCAGCAGTTCCGTGTTGCAGTAAAGCTGTGAGGCAGGAGGTGAAAACCAAGGCTCAGGAGCCCCTCACTGTCTCATCTTGTTCATGCGACTTTACTATGTTCCATGTCAAACCAGGGCATTTCTTCTGTGATGAGATTATATCTGGGCCTGCTTCTTTGGTCAGGATGGTGGCACCAGAAATAGCAATTACCTATCATCGGAAAATGCACTGAATTAAAAAAAGAGAAAGATAAAATATTCCCAAGAAGTCACGGCCTGGGCATAGATCCCGATGCCTGGATAAGGAACAAACTTCTCTGCGTGTCCGGTTGATTAGAGAAGAGACTAGGGTTACACACAGTCTCATCGGCCATTGCTGTGGTTGGACTCCCGTGCCGAGATTGACATGGAACTGCTGCGTGTTTATTTTGTGGCATGAACTCCTCTGTAATCACCTTATGTATGTTCCTCTGTCTCTGAAGATGTGAAAGGATGTGGTGTGTGGTTCCTGCTCTGAGTGTACTTACCCACCAGTGCTTATTAACAAGGCTAGAAACTGTTACCTCCTTGGCTATTGTTGACGGTCAGTGTTGCTGTTGGACTGTCTGTCATTCTGGAGCCAGACTTCAAAGCAGCTTGGATCTGGGTGGTCAGCGACCCGGATGGGAAGAACGCTCATCTTCTCCCGTTTTATCTAACAACCTCTTGTAGTGATGGCCTCCCACCCTCACCCTCTGTTGGCTGACATGCCCGGGAATGTGAAGCACTAAGTTGAATTGCTTTTCATTTTCATCCCATTTTTATTTAACCATCATTTTGTGTTTTTGTTTTTTTTTCTGTTTAGCTTTAAAGAAGAATAATATCACTAAATTTCCAAATGTTCACTCGAGGGTAAGGATTTCTTCTAGCACACCGGTGGTGGAGGATACACAGAGCTGGCAAGCATCACTTTTTACTTAGCTTCCTCCTCTCTCTGTATGCAGATCAGTAGTTTCAATCTATGGCCCAGGGTAATACTGGTGAGAGTCTACCAGGGAGGTCTTTGTACCTCACTATCAATGATGTGAGGCCAGGCCTCTCTGTTGGACTCTTTCTGGCTTGCTTCCGTATTCTCACATGATGGCTTGGGCAAGGGTTTTGCTGATTATTGATTGCTGTGGGTGGTAGGCTGTCCCTTACCCCTTCTTAGCCTTTGAGTTATTCAGTTAGCTCCATTTTTATCTGAAGAAATCGAGAGCCAGTCCTGGCCAGAGAACACGATCTGTAGCCTTTGGAGAAGGATTAGGATCTTTAAAATTAATTGCTTGGAGGGCTCAGGAATCAGAGGCTGGTCCCTGCGTGCCCTTAGCCAGAAGTGGGATTCTAGCCTTCCTACCACTCTGTGCCAGGAAGCAGTCTCCGGATGATCAGGGTATGCAAACATGTGCTTTGCTTGCACTTAGGAGTAGGGCAGGGTCACAAAGCCCAACAAGCCCAGAGCTGGTGAGCACTGTGCGGAAGGAGGGCACCATCTTGCACTCGGCTCCAGCTTGTGTTTGCCTGCTGAGAGTTTGGGCCCAGTATTGCCAGATCCTCCAGTTTTCCAACCGAAGTCAGAAACCTTGACTTTTATGTCAATTACCAGTTTAAGTATCAGGCAACTGTACTTAAAAATGTAAGTCAAGGTCAAACATCCTATTGTTTCTGTGTTTCCCCTTCTAAAGGTAGAATGTTTCCTAACAGAAATAAAAAGTACTAAATTAATAAAAGTGAAATGTATAAGCAAAACAAGGGGAAGTATGAAGCCTGCTTCATTTTTCCCTATATCCTGACTCCATTAAAAGGAAAGATGCTTCATACTTATTACTCATAAAATTCCTCTTGTTCATCCCACGTTATCCCTCCAGAGCAATGCCTGCTTGAACTAACATGCAATGAGGCATTTTTAAAATAGGCATTCCATTCCGCTATGCATTTGCAATACAAATTGGAGAATGCAGGAAGGCCCATATAACTTCTCCACTGTAATGAAAAACCAAAAATATTGGTGGCAGGAAAGAATGTTCAGGAATAGGATATTATTTTGATTGAATGATTACTTTTATTTAGTAGTTAAATTGAGCATTGTTTCTAATTCACAAAATAAAAAACTGACCCCAGCTAATAATAGAATTTAAAAACTGGAATCTGTGTCTGCGAACTAATATAGTTCTTCCTTGATTAAAATTGGGATAAGATAGGACAGGACAATCGGTTTTATTAGTTTTGCAGTTTAAATTCATTATTGTTTATATTTAGGTTTCCAGAAAGAAAGAAAGAAAGAAAGAAACACATAAGCCATAGCGATTTCCAGTTGAGGAAATGTTTCAAAGTAAGACTTCAGCTAGACCCTCTGGCCAGTGACAAAAGCAATCTCTTCCTCTATTCCCTAAAAGTACCAGAATCCCACCAGTATTACATCATGTTTTGACTGTAAATACAGAGGGCAAAGTTCATGTGTTTGGCTCAGATATTCTGTGGGTTTGCAGGGCCCATTAGCTGACTCTTCTACACAAGCTGCTTTGATTGGCTGCCAGCTGGCCTTGTCTTGCTTAGAAGCACAATATTAAAGGTTGCAATTCTCTCACTGATGCTCTCTTTACAGATCTTAGAAACCAACCATACAGACGAGCCGACGCGGTGAGGAGAAGTGTCAGGCGGCGCTTTGATGATCAGAACTTGCGTTCTGTTAATGGTGCCGAAATAACCCTGTGAACCTGAGACCTGACTGAATGAATAGTTTGTGCGTGAAAGAAGCTGTCCACATGAACTTTATGTACCGCCATTTAACTGCAGCCTTGAACATAGATGAAGTATTCTAAGGGCTCAGATTTAGCAAACATAGGAATTTTAAAATGATGGGCCCTCCTTTCAACCTTTGTTAACAAGTGCCTAAAAGTGGAAGTACCTGCTCAGATTAATCAAAGCAATAGGATTGGATTTGATTAGGTATCTTTTTACACCAGTATGTTACTCAATTTTTTAATCAAATTGTAAATTTCCTATTACATGTATTACCTGCCATTGTGAATGTCCCAGGATGGCCCACCCTGGTTTCCTACGAAGTTGTAAATAAGATGGATGCCTCTGTGGTGGGCTCCTTTGTTGAGATGTCTTTTAAGGAATTTTGTGTTTCAGTCATACTCACCAACTTTGTATTTTTAAGGGCTTGCAACATGGAAGGAAGAGGGAAAAGTCTCATGATAAACTTGTGTGCAAAACCAAGCCCTAGCAAAGTTCAGATAGATTGCAATTCCAGTAGCTCAGGAGGATACTCAGCGGTCTCCTTTCACAGTCTACTACCCTGTGCTAGTGTACCGTGCCCTTCCTGGGAGAGTCCCTGTATGAATGCAAGGATATGATGGCATACAAATGTTGCACAGTACTGTTCTTCAGCTAGGGGCAGCTTTGAAAAGATAATGCAATATATTTATTAATTAGCACTAAAATTAACATCTCAGTAATCAGTATTAGGATTTCTGAGGATCATTATGGGTCAAAACTGAGAAGAGAAATCAGTGCCTTGCTAGCCAGGAATAAGTTCACTAGTTCTATCAACAGTGCTCAAGATTACTTCTGCTGGCGGAGAAGTGTTAGTCACCCAGCCTTACTCTCCTCTGACAATCGGTTGGCTCCGAGCCCCCCGCCCCTCCACCCACCCACCCCCTCCTTCTTCCTTTTGTTAAGTCGAAGATATATTTGGCATCATATATCAAAGCGAAAAACTTTGTATTTCCCAGATTACTTTATGAGGAATTGAATATTCATGTTGGGATAAAGCTTAAATGAGATATAATGGGACTAAATGGCCAATTAAGCCACTGTTACTTTTCCTTCCTCTGGCAGGGCACTCGATCCATTCCAAAGTCAAAAACTGGACTGAAGCTAATTTGTACTTTTCATAATATACATTCTGCTTCTGGCTTACCTTCTTGGTACATCACATCAGTATATTAATTGTAAAGTTTATTGTATAGTATTTAACCACTGAATTTCTTATTTTATGTTGTGCTCATGTGAACTCCTTGGTGAAGGTCCAATTTTCTTTGGATAATGTGTAGTTATATATGACCTCTTTTTAAATGTACAGATATTTTGCTATAAAATTGGTGCAGTTTTTTATGGTTTTTACACTTAATTCCCACCTAAGCCTCTGGGTAATATTGTAAATATTGTTTAAAAATGCATCGGCCTATGCTATACAATCTGAATGTTATTTTAACTTATAGTTTTTTTAATATATATATTTAACTACAAGGACAGTTTAGAGATCAGTTATCACATTTCACTTTAGCACACCTATTTACAGAAAGATTGCTTTTAAACAGCCACTTGCCAGCAAATTTTCATAAATGTGTACTTCAAAAAGAACATGCCAAGATTTTGTTTTTCTGTTGACCCAACTTTAATTTTGACAATACCATGAGACACACAATACAAATTGGTCCTTTACCACAAGCAGCTGGTTCCCAAAGCTCAATGCTGACGAGCACATTAAAATCACTACTATTTATTAATCTCCAAGTAGACAATAATGTTGGCATGTTCTTTTCTGTTTGTCTATTAATAGGCCTGCTTCTTAGCAATATTAGAAATGTTTTATAAAAGCAGTTCATGTTACTTTTCTGGTCTTTTCATGGCATATGAGCAAATAAACTATTTACACCACTACCCTGTAACATGTCGTCATCTTTCAATGGTATACTTTAGGGGTTTTGCCAGTTATCTTCTAGAAAAGGTATGTCTTGTTGCTTAAACTCCGAATCTAAATGTATTCGGTAAATTTAGTAAAATCCCTTCCTGTACACTCTTGAGCACTTGCTGTACGGGACAAAGTAACCACTTAGATTTGGGAAGTGAGGGATACAGTTCCCAAATCATATTTATTCTTTTCAGTTATCATTGTAAAGTTTAATTTATTGTTTTTAGCATATTCTTCTTAGAAAAGCAAGGAAATGTAGTATTTCAGGAAACTCTGTAAGTGGCTTGAAAATACTTTAGAGGGCTGTAAATTAATCATTTAAGAAATTGTTGTTATATTAAGTCTTTGTTCCCAACTCAGTGCCCTTTCTCTTGTACCAATATAGCTGAAACCTCACTTTAAAACGGGGACGGGGAAGTTCAAGTCTGCAATTAGGCTCTGCAGTTTGTTTTGTTGCAGGGCAAAGTGCTTCATGGTAAAAGAAATAAAGTCAGTATTGCACAAATTCAGGTCTTCAAACCCAAACTTCAGCAGTAAGTCAAATGAGGCCAGATAGGGCTAGGTTTAAGGGCACCGATGCACCAGTAGCATCCATTTTTTAAGGTGTTTACCAATGACCCAGAACTAAATCCCCTAGTTCCCACTCTCAAATTGCTAAACTCTTAAGTCCTAATCCATTAAATTCACTGCAGTGAGTGTTCAGTGACCCTGCTGACTCAGCAGTGCTCTGCAAAGCTGGGGGGTGACATGTACCATGGGATCTGCTGGGTCAGCACAGAATTTTACAGAACTACCTACTTGGGTACTGAAAATCATGCTTTTATAATATTGGATTTATAATTCACACATGTATTGATTTTAATATTTGATAACTCTTCTTAGCCTTATACTTATTTCCTAAATTATATCAGAAATGCCTGAAAAGATGGATCTACTATCATCCCAGTTCATAAAAAAGGATTAATATATTAGCTTCCCATTTCTTTTAAACCTAATATCCCATCTATTTCCAAGAAAAAATTTGAAGCAAAAACAAATGCATTATGAAATATTAATATACTTTCTTTGATCTTTTTACAGAGAAAAGCAGGTATTACACTGAGAAAACAGAATGTGGGCATCTAGCATCTCACAGCACAGAACTGCTGCATGAGGGGTGCTTAAAGGTAAAAGTTGACACAAAAACAACTTACTTAGTAAAAGATGTCATTGTTTTCTAATAAATTATATTTATTTACAAAAGGTCTAATTTATATAACTGAAATTCTTTACATCAGAACAATATAGAAACAGAAAACCTGATAATTACAAACACAGAACATAGAAACCTTGTTCCCCTATTACTCACCTTTCAGAACAAGTCTTCGGTTTAGTTGTAGAGGTAAGCAAAAGACCAATACCTACCAAAAAGTTTGCAGGCATAACCAAAGGAAAAGATGTTTATAAATAGCACATTTAGATACCCCAAGGAACAGCATAAAAGGGCATCAAGAAATGGCTTAATTTTAAAAAAATAAAAAGAAGTGGCTTAGTCTGAATCTGATCTGATTAGGCAGTCATTCTGTTTCACAGTCTATGATCGAAAATGGGTGGGGGGAGCTAGCTGCCCTGAAATGCAAACATCAACCTTACACCTAGCGCAAATGCCATTAAATTAAGTCAGTTATCAATCACTAACAGTGAGATGTCTTTGAACTAGATCCTGCTGAGTCACAAAAGCAGTTTTTATATAGCAAGTTTAAAAAGATTGCAGTTAAGGAATTTAGGTCAGGTAGATAAGTGAAATAAAATGGAGGGCTGGGGGAATGTGAGAGTAACGGGAGCAAAATCTTCTCACTTCCTACCTCACCATTAAGTCAGCTCCAATAACACTGAATAACTGTCATGTCACCATTATTCACTCCTTTGTCAAAAATAGCCTGAAAATATTAGTTCTCAGCTTGTAATTTAAATGGGAAGTTTGCTATTGTATCTCTTAGGGTTTTAAAGACCAAGTGATCTAGCTAAATGTTAATTCTTCAAATAAATTATACTTTTGAACTTCTATTATATAACATTAACTTATAAATAATTACAAAGGCAAGTTTCAAATCATTACAGGGGAAGATTTCTTTACTCAAAAATCACATGGAAGCTCTATGTTCTGACAAGCTTTTGAACTTTTCTGAAGTAATGGTTAAAGTACAGTCACTAAAACTCATGTTCAGTGCACTTTAGTTGTGTATGTGGCTTTAGTCATGGGTTAGTGTGGTTTATTGCAAAGATGCTTTTTCAAGCCCTTTAATACAGATGGTAGGTACCATGTATGCTGGCTGAGTACATCTGTCAACTAATATGTTACATTCATTCAATAGATGCCTACTATGTGCCAGGCACTGTGCTAACCAACAGAATACAGCAGTGAATGAAACTTACATAGGAACTAGACCACCCCTGAAGTCAAAACAATTGAAAACTTAAGAGCAAGGTAAGCATTAAATAAGGGAAGTAAGAATTACTAGATTGGTATTCAAAACCATAGAATGAGATAAGCCTATTGTTACAAGCCTATTCCAACAGTTCCATGAAAATCATTCCTGATGTTACTTTGTTTCCTTTATGTGAAATCAATGCAGTTTTACCTAGAGAATGTAAAAGAATTAAAATCTACGTCATACTGAGAGAGATACATCCCTAAGGGAAAAGTCTCAAATTTAAGATATTAGGAATTAATGTGCTTTGCCTCATTTTGCTTTTAGAAATGTTTTAGTTATTTACTTTTATAAATCACACAATAATACTTAAATATCCTATAGACTTTAAAAACAGCATTCATTACTCTTCTCTGGGTACTATTTGATTAGAAACCATTCTCCTAAATACATCTAGGTTAAAAAAAAATCTTCATATAAAAGGGGCTCCCTCTTTTTTGATGCAAAAATTAAAGTGGCTACCTAGTCAACACTCAATTGACCATACCAGAAGCATCTAAGGCTAATGCTTCTTACAAAGCCCTTTGGTAACCAGATGAAAACTGGACCTTCTTTCCAGAAAAAATGTACACAAATGTTTCAGGAGATTTTAGTCTCTTCACTATGAATTAAGACTGCCTTACTCTATCTAGGCCAGAGGGAAGAACGTCCGGCCCGAAGGCCTCATAACGCCTATGAAATCATTTGGTCTGGCCCTGCCAAGGCATTAGGGGTGAGCTAATTAAATGTTTGGTCAAATATAGCAGGCTAATTTTTAAGTTGATAATTTTGTATGGCCCTCAAATGATGTTATAAATATTCAAATGTCCTTGGCAGGAAAAAGGTTCCCCACCCATGATGTCTAGGCCAATGGTCGGCAAACTCATTAGTCAGCAGAGCCAAATATCAACAGTACAACGATTGAAATTTCTTCAGAGAGCCAAATTTTTTAACCTTAAACTATATAGGTAGGTACATTGTTATTAACTTAATTAGGGTACTCCTAAGGCTTAGGAAGAGCCACACTCAAGGGACCAAAGAGCCGCATGTGGCTTGCAAGCCGCAGTTTGCCGACCACGGATCTAGGCCAATCCTTTTCATTTTATAGTATTATGGGGTCCAATTAGCAAAGTTATAACATTTTGATCATTTTCAGGTTTACTGGGAGGGATAAAAAGTATTTTTGTTGAAAAACATGAATAACCTATAGGCTGAAGCTACTTTTGGGTAATAAAAAAAAAATCATCACTATGTTTAAAAAAAAAAGTGGGACTTTTATTTGAAAATAATTTAAAAACGCTTGGGAAAAGTACAATGAATTCTTCATCCTTGATTGATTCAATTAACTTTTCACATAAATTCAATTTTCCCACATAGGGATTATAGAGTGGGAGAAAATAAAAACATCAAGTATTTGAAGTTCCTATTTTGACTATTATATTAAATGTATTAGTGAATTTAATCCAATAATTCATTAATATTGAGGGAAGATGAACCCTCAACATTTGCCTTACTCTGAGAATTAAAAATATACATTCCCCTTATGTGAAAAGAAAAATGCTTTCCTGCTTGAACACATTTGTTCAAACCCTACTCAAACTGTTTCAACATCAAGTCTAATTGCAAGACATTTCAGCTTTTACAACCTATATCTTTAATCTAACTGGTTAAAAACATTCACAGAACTCTAGCTTTAACAAAATCTTCCCATCATCTGTGCTTTCAGACTGGACAATATCTTTCTAGCAACTAAATCTCTTTTGATGGGATAATCAAAGGGTAGTAAGACAAGGATTTTACTCACTTTAATAGCATCTTTTTAACAAGGATGTTGTATTTAGAGATGTAATTTGTTCACTAGTTTTGTTTTTAGGTTAAATAATTTTCATGGGTGAACTATTGGGAAACGTGAATTTGTATTGTCTTATAGGGATTTGAAGTTGTGACAGACAGAAGTGCAGAAATTTATTTTGAGGATATGCTAAAACACATCAATAGCTTTTTATTTAAATAGAAAAATCAAAACTTTAAAGTTGTACTTAAAAATCATTCATAGAATTAAAACATTTTACAGATTCTAAATTCTCTTGTGAAACATCACTAGTATTTCTGCCAATATCATATGCTTATATTAAAGATCCTACCACTTCCTGTCAAGTGTTAGACATAATGTCAAGTGTTAGGCATGATTGGCAATATTAACTATCATTAAAATGGGACCTCTGAAAATTAAGTATAGGTGAATCCCTGATTAATAAGTAAGTTATGTTTTGGTTCTAATATGCAAAAGGAGACTCAAGCAAGCAACTTGGTTACTTCCCATTTTCTAAAAATAATGGTCCTCATTTTCTACAAAGTCATGTCGTATTTCACAGCAGAAAAATGTCTTGGCAGGGAGAAGTTTAGAAACAACACCCTCTTCCCCTTATTTTTGAAGCATTCAACAGTGAACAGATTTAACTAAAATAGGGAGCAGAGATGGGAGTCATCCTGATTAGTCCCACTTTTCAAATTCACTAGGATGATA